GTGTTGCCAAAACAAGTGTAAGAAGAATAGTTCAGACACACGGGTGGTCAGTGTTGTGTTTATAAATGTGCTGTAATGAAGGTTTAGTCTTCATTTCTCGCTATGAGAGCGCAGCTGGACTCACGTGTGGATTACAGCGCTCTGCTAACACACCACAGAAACACGTCTGTAAGGAACATGTTTCCCCGAGAGCTTTCCGCATCTGGAAATGGTGAGATCCATATTTGCCGCTCGTCTCCTTTAATAAAGACGCGGCTTCAGTTGGTGCTGATTGTCTCTACAGCTGTGCTCAGTGTGTGATCGGGGCTCTTTGTTTATTCAGAGGTAAAGTGAGTTGGTATGGTGAGCAGAACTCTTTCAGTGTTTAAAGACGGACATTAGTCAGACAGATTGAGTTACTCAGTGTACAGCAGGTTAACATCACTCTAATATTACTGTACGTTCACACTGAAGGTGAAGAGAGTGTCAGAGGTCGCTCTGGCTGCCCTGGTGACAACGCGGTCCGTCTTTAGCTCCGGCGGTGAGAGCGTCACAACTCGTTACACTGATCTGGTATTTAAAGGGGCCGATGCAGCATCATATCAGCGACATTCCCATATAAAACTTACTTTCTAGCGTGAAAATGTTGCACACTTATTAGCCCCTTTCACACATACAGACTTTTCCTGAAAGTTACCGGCAATTTTCCGGAAAGGTCTGTATATGTGAACAGGCCCTTTGTGAAAACACTAGTAAATTCGTTCTGGCTATTTTCAGCAAATAGAACTTGACACATGAGCAGTAATTTGCTGGAATGCTCTGCTGTGTGAACGCAGATAGAAGATTGCCGGAAAGAGCGCGTGCACGTCTAGAATGTGCTGACGTGAGACGTCTGCTTTAGCCAATCAGAACAGTCAGACGCATTCACGTCCACACGGTTTATGAGAATAAAAGCCTTTGAATATTTCTCCAGACACATTCAGCTGCTAGATGTTAGTCAGATAACGTTTATATGTTCATCTTAATGCCAACCGTGTACATGATTCTCGATAAGATGCTGTTTGTTTATCTTCAAGCTTTGCGTGTGCCCGTGAAACAGCCCGTGAGCGCCAGCACAAACACATATCATGAACATCTCGACATGTGAAAGTGTTTCTCTGTGTGTTTTCATCAAAGTTGTTCACAACACTGATCATCCACAGAGTTTGTGATGTAGTCAAATGTTTACAAACACAAGCGCAGCCGTTTACAGCTCATTTCTGCTTAATGATGGCAGAATTGCCGCTATTTTGGAATAGATGTGTGAACGCTCTTTTCCAGAAAAATTCCGTCACGTCCTCGCCTGTGTGAACAGCACTTTTTTGAATTCACTAGTAAAGTCTTTCCTGAAATTTTCCATGTATTTACCGGTATCACTGTGTGAAAGGGGCTATTATTAAATTCATTTAATTACGAGTTGTGACTTTGCTCCACTTGTCCAATACGTGTCTGAAATATTCTGAAGCAGCAGTACGGTTTTGTATTGTTGCATGACATTCCCACTTCTCTTAAAGAAAAATAAAATATATAACATTAATGCACATCAGTAACTCGCCAGTAACTCATTTAATGCACGTTCCTGTAAGAAAACACTGCAAATAATTGCAAATCCGGCAACCGCATTATTCAAACTCTTGGGAACAGCTGTGGTCGGAACCAAAGTTTTCAGTGACTGTGTTCTCTGGACTCCTCCCAAGCTGTGGACTTCTTCATTCTGATTGGTTGCCGCAGAACTGCATCATAGCTCATCACCATAAAGTCTACTTGATTTCAACTCTCCTCGATGCCCAGACTGGCGAAGACGCGCTGCTCCTCCCCAAGGCTCTCATTTAAAATGAATGACTTCCTGCTAGTTTGATGCTCTCGCTGCTTTCGGTGTGAACGTACAGATATAGACTGAGGGATCCGCTGTAAATGCTGCTCTCCCAGTGTGAACACCGCACTCAAACGATTACCATCCAGGAGGATTTTCTCCGCATCTTGTGACAGGATAGTCAATACACACACAGCTTTCTGACGCTACCTGCTGAGGTCATCTGAGTTACAGAGAAATGTGGAGGGGTTTTGTTTTCTCCCATTCGCCGTGCGGTATCAAACACTCCATTAACTACACTCTTCCAGCAGTTCCTGCATCCAATAATAGGGTATATGCAGAGCTAGTGCTGTTCCCATACTGATAAACCTCCGGTGAGCTGTTATTGTGTGTTTTTCTATTTTATACGGTTCCCTTTCCAGCAGTGATGTTGTAATGTCATTAAAATATGATCAGTTAAACAGACTTTAGCATTCATTCAGTTGCTCAAGTGTAAAACAAGACAAAATGCCGTTTACTCGCACGCGCTCGCCAGGATCGACACGCAAGTGCAGAAGCTCCATTGAATATACTTGGGTAAAATAAATGCTCATATTATAAAGACATGGCGGGGGGAGTGTAATGTAATGCGGTGCTTCTTGTACAGTCTGACACCCACTTTATATCAGATATCCCTCAGCCAGTGGAGATCGCTTATTTTTAAAGAAAACAGAACTTAAACATGCCGATTTTGTGTTGACATACAGTTCATCGCAAGCGCTTAACCCAGATTACAGACAAATTAAAAGTCCTATTAGCATACTTCGGCATCTACCCCATATCTGGTTTGTCACGGAGGGCATGCAGGTAATGTTCCTGAATGAAAGTGAAAGTGCCAAACTGCAGTTAAAGTCCTCAAATTAATCATTTGGCAAATAATTCAATGACTGATATCCATGTTTTGCCTCTGTGATAATCAGCACGCGCTCAAACTGAAACTCCTTCATATGCAAACCCTTCCCTCTTCCCCTCCCCTGACACTCCCACCTAAACAGAGCTGGACACACCCACCATCCTGACTTTAATCAAACTAGAGGTGTGAAAACACCCGTCAGACACAGGGGGTTTGGTGGCCCTTTTAAGCCTGGTTTATACTTCTGCGTCAAGTGATCGGTGTGACCCATGGCGTAGGCAACGCGTGTAGCTGTGCATTTATACTTCTGCTGCTGTCTCTGTTGGTCTGCATTAACACTTATGAAACGCTAGTTGGCAGTGAGGTGTAAATGTTTCTCCGTGTCGAGTTTCTTCTCTGCTGTTTTGTTTGTTCTGAACACTTCCGGGATGTACAAGTGACTCAAACTCGCTCATTTTGAGGCAGGAACCGGCGGACGTGCAACAACTTTAACTATGAGGTAACCACAAAACAAAACTCTCCATCTGGTGCTCCTTCACGGGACTCCACACTTGTAAACAATCGCTCGGCTCTCGGTCCCGCACACACTCGTCAGCGCTACTAAGCCAACCAATCACAGATAAGATTTGTCACCAAAAGGTGACAAAATTTGAGGCCAAATTAAGAATCTAAATCAGCCCAGAGTGGATGAAAACGACCCAACAGCACACAAGGGGTAACAGTATTTCAGCAGTAAAAATGGCTTTAGTTTCTGTGGACATACTGCAGTTTGTGTTGTTGTGCTGGAGGTCAGAGGTCAGCTCAGCTCCGCCTCTTCCTCTCACTGTTGAATGAATGGACTGATGGAGGAATGCAGTTTCCTGAAAACACTGACGAGGGATCAGCTCCTGCAGGAGAAAACACTCAAACAGCACTGAAATACATCTTGTAGAGACAGACAGACAGACAGACATATATGTAGACAGAGAGACAGACAGACAGACATGTAGACAGACAGATCAACAGACAGAGACATATATGTAGACAGAGAGACAGATAGACATAAGTAGACAGACAGATAGACAGACAGACACATATGTAGACAGACAGGCAGATAGACAGATATGTAGACAGATAAATATAGATGCATTTGGTGAATGTAAACAGCAGTGTTATTAACAGGTATAGATCTTAGATGAGTTGATCAGTTTTGTCTTTGGTTCTGACTAATCTTCTGTATCTGCATTCATATATTACTGTAAACGAGAGATCTGTGACTGTCAGCGCATGTACACACACACACACACACACTCTCCAATGGTTCTGACAGAAATGATCATTGAGGTTTAATAAACGTGGGCTGTTGTGGAGCGATCATGAATGAGATTATAAATCCAGAGGAATTATATCCAGAGCTCTCTGACTGCAGGAGATCAGCATCCATCTCTCTCTCTCTCTCCACATAGCTTCAATTACACACACTTTTATATGTTAATATAAAAAAAGGGTAAACACAGTATCAGCATGGTAACATGAACCACACGTTCACATTGATTGAAGAGAAGTCGCTGAGCAGATATATTGTGGGTTTAGAGGAGCAGATCACCTCTGTGTGTGTCAACGACAGACTCTGAAGACATTATGAGCAGTAGATTTAATTCAGTCAAATAAGCAGACGCTCATCTGTGATTAACAAAGAGACGATTGATCAACTCCACTGTAGGAGCTGAACTATGAGGCTGGAGTTATGAAGACACTGTGATTGAGTTAGTGTGATGTAACAGCTGACAGTTTACCAGCTCGTCCAATCAGCTTCCAGAGTCTACGCGCACACGCATACACACACACACAATCTCACACACACACACACACACACAATCTCACACACACACACACACACAATCTCACACACACACACACACACAATCTCACACACACACACACACACAATCTCACACACACACACACACACAATCTCACACACACACACACACACACACACACACACACACACACAATCTCACACACACACACACACACACACACACACACACACACACACACACACACACACACACACACACACACACACACACACACACACACACACACACACACACACACACACACACACACACACACACACACACACACACACACACACACACACACACACACTTATGAACTCATGAGCGCTCAGTGTAAAACCCAGTGTCAGGTGTGTGTGTGTGTGTGTGTGTGTGAGTGTGTGTGTGTTTGTGTGTGTGTGTGTGTGTGAATAAAGCACTGGAGCTCAGCTTCAGTTGGGATGTGTTTTATATAAATAATACTTAAAAAATATTTATTGGGGAAAACAAACCAAATGGGGGAAAATGAACCAAACGTCCGTCTGTCCGTCCGTCGCCTCCAAACGCGTGTCAGCATGCAGCGCTTCATCATCATCATCATCATCTCTGTACACAAGCATCTTCAGGCGTTACTGTAAATTAAAGACGCTCTAGAACTAAACTTAAAGTCAGGCGTGAGAAACCGCGTGGAGGATCCTCGCCACAGAGGAGGATTGTGGGAAACGTCCTGGCACTGAGAGTTCATCATCATCATCATCATCATCATCATGGCTGAATGTGCGTCGGGAACAGCGTTCAGGATGGACTTCTGGGAAACAACATAAACCTGCGGAGCAGAGAAGAAGGAGGAGATCAGCACTCCTGCAGCCTGTTTAATGTGCAGCTATCCTGCAGACACGAGTCCTGGCAGAGCTTTAGGGCCTTCTCACACTACGCCACATGCAGTCAAATATTTCGTCAAACAGTCCTTAGGGATGCGGTGACACGCAGTCAGATATTTCACTGAACAGATCCGCCACTTTTGGCGCTCATAAACAATCATAAAGCTCTCGTGCTGCAGGAATGAGGAGGTCTGCTGAAGGTGCAGCTGTGGTGCAGTGAGGGGTTTGCGTCTTTAATAATCTAAGTTTGCGTTCACTGAACAGTAAGAATGATTAATAAATCTACATGAAACAGTCCCTTAAAGTCTCGTCTCGCTTTCAGTTTCGGGCTTTGGCGCATTTTGCACTCAGACTACAATCGTACCGCACCAAAGCCCAAGTGAACCGCACTCAGGCACACCTCTTCCAACCGGGCCAGGGCCGGCCAAGTGAACCGCACTCAGGCACACCTCTTCCAACCGGGCCAGGGCCGGCCAAGTGAACCGTGCTTGAGCCCGATTCAGCGCACTCACACTTCTCAAACGATCCGGGAAATGGGTCTGGGCACGGTACAGATGGCATAGTGTGAGTACGCCCTAAGACAGACCCCCTAGAGCAGAGGTGGGCAAACTACGGCCCGCAGACCATATGCACGAAGAGATCACATCTGAAGAGATCACAAACTCATTACTGAAGACACACAGTCTAACACACACTCACCCGCGCGCGCGCGCGCACACACACACACACACACACACACACACACACACACACACACACACACACACACACACACACACACACACACACACACACACACACACACACACACACACACACATATATATATATACACATATACACACTCATATCTGAGTCTGGTTCTCTCAAGGTTTTTTTTCTTCACTCCCATCAGGTGAAGTTTTTTTTCCCTCTCCGCTGTCGCCACTGCCTCGCATGGTTCAGGATTGGTAGAGCTACGCATCGTTGAATTTGCTCTTCAGTGTTTGAACTCTCAGTAATGATTAAATCACACTGAACAGAGCTAAACTGAACTGAACTGAACTTAAACACTAAAACCTGAACCACACTGTTCCAGTTACTATGACCATTTATGTGAAGCTGCTTTGACACAATCTACATTGTAAAAGCGCTATACAAATAAAGCTGAATTGAATTGAATTGAATCATATCCACACACAATTTTACACAAACACGCACACAAACACAGTTTCTCACAATCTCAGAAGCACACCCACTCATGTAAACACACACAAACAATCATACACACACACACACACAATTTCACACAAACACACACTCAAACACACACCCACTAACCCTCTGGGTGGCTCTGGGGTCTATAAAGTTTGCCCACCACTGCCCTAGTTTTTCACGATACCGCGATCGCTGAATCAAACGCAAAATCAACAAAAAGTCGCAGATTTATGCGATCCTGCAAAATTCTTAATTAAACGCAAAATAATCACAAAAGTTTAAATGATCGCATAAAACATCCAATTCTAAACTACATCATCACATTATATTTATTTCAGTTTGCAATGAAATGTTTGACATGACTTATAGATGTGATGTATTGGAGTGTCTCTCGAAAAATGACGTTTCACCAGCGCCCTCACAACAATCGTTACATTACATGGAGAGGGGGTCTGCACAGTAAGCAGATGCGGATGAAGCGCGGGTGATGTACATGTGCCTTGGGATGGATGGATGGATGGATAGATATAGATAGACAGACTTTTTTTTTTTTTTGCAAAATTGTCCGCAAATTCTGGGAATTACCGCCACAAAATCAGTCATTTTATCACAAAAAAATAAAAAATAAAAAATGCATATGCATCTGTAGCCCCGCCCTCTTCTGAAAAAGAGCACAATCTCATTTGCATTTAAAGCGACAGTCACCAAAACGCCACAGTTAGGATCAAAGCCTGAAAGGGTCAGTTCCAGAGCTGGAGAACATGATCTGTGTGCTATTCACAGCTCAAACACACACACGCTCTAGAGACAGCAGGTTTTTTTAGAATAATATCTTATTTACAGTAGCATAAGTAGTAGTAAATAAACAGTAGCATAAGAGGCGATCAATCAGCTGCTCATCACTACAAACATCTGCCTCTGATTCATTCTGCTACACAATATGATCTGATGCCTGCGCTCTTGCAGCTCCTGCATGCTGTGAAATAACAGTGTGAACAGGTTTCCATCCAAACACAGCCAGTAGAGCTGAAGATCAAAGAGCTCCAGTCTGCTAAATATAGATAAGCACAGAGAGAGGGAGAGAGATGATGATGATGATGATGATGATGGAACAAGGGAGACTGAGTCATCATCACATTCACTGCAGCATCACACCAGCAACACACACACACATATAGAAGAATGAAAATCAAAGAAATAAAACACACAAGCTACACTAATTTGTAGGAGTCTGTGGGAGAGAATGCAGAATGAACACACACACACACACGTATGCATGGACGCGCACACACAAGCACCAGGATCACACTGATTTTAGAGCAAAGAGCACAGAGTTCAGATCAAACCAAAGCCAACAGCATTTAATGAAAGGTGATTTCAGGCTTTTATTTCAGAATGAAGATCTGCTTTTCTTTTGATGCTCAACAGAAGCTGGTTGAAGCAACATTTATGTCCATATTGGACTACGGTGATGTTCTCTGTATGCATGCTTCATCTCAGAATCTGGATGCACTGGATACTGTTTATCTTGGCGCACTAAGATTTATAACTCATTTTAAATCTCTTAAGCCTGGTTTATACTTCTGCGTCAGGTGACCGGTGTAACCCACGGCGCATGCAACGCGTGTAGCTGTGCATTTATACTTCTGCTGCTGTCTCTGTCGGTCTGCATTAACACTTCTGAAACACTAGTTGGCAGTGAGGTGTAAATGTTCCTCTGTGTTGAGTTTCTTCTCTGCTGTTTTGCTTTTCCTGAACTCTTCCGGGATGTACAAGTGACTCAAACTCGCTCATGTTGAGGCAGGAACCGGCGGACGTGCAACAACTTTAACTATGAGGTAAACACAAAACAAAACTTTCCATCCGGAGCTCCTTCACGGGACTCCACACTTGTAAACAATCACTCGCGCCATTCATGCGGCTCTCGGTCCCGCCCAGACTCGTCAGCTCTACCAAGCTGACCAATCACAGAGCTTATGCTATGCGTCGTTGGGACGTGTAGTTACATTTTTTTGAGAGGTGCACATCAGTGACGCCGACGGCCACGGCGAAGGGCTATGCGTCAGCGCCGTAGCATACGCTGGCGTTTGACGCAGAAGTATAAATCAGCCTTTACTCATCATCGTGTGCTGCATATTAGGGGAGGTTGGTTCGCTTAGTCCATTCGTAGGCTCAAGCATTGGCATATAATTATTTACAAATCTGGGTTTACCCCATCTTACCTACAGAACTACATTTGTAAAAGCCTGTCCTTAAAGGTGCAGTCGGTGTTAGTCTTCAGAAGCATGTGTTCTTGTGTTGTTTGAAAGTCTCTTCACATTCCATTAGTACTGATTACAGTTAATGATCTAAATGTGTTTATATGTGTTTTTAGATTTTGGGTAAGGCATAAAATTAAAAAACGTTCATCTAATTAAATAGAGTCGGGCTGACATCTCTCATAATTCCGATAAGTAGCTCAAACTGTGTCAACAAATGCAGATTTGAACAACTGCGCAGCGGTTTGTACGCAGCTCTGCCGACCGCTGTTTGTGCATAGACGTGTGGCGCGTTCACAAGAGAGAGAGGGAGGGAGAGAGAGAGAGTACACGCGCGCTCGATCAGCAAAAACATGCTAAATCAAAACTTATAAAAAACCTGAATCAATATTGGCGTTCCCTTTGCACGCTGGAGAAAGGATGACACCATGTCTGAAGGGTTTCTCTTAGACAGGTCATGTTCTGTTTTAAAACTGATTTAGCTTCCCGCAAAGCTGATGTAGCGTTAGATGTTGTTGTAACAAATGGGTTACATCTGCACAGAAGTGTTGTTCAGCCACTAAAATCTTCCGGAGAAAGATTGATAAGACTATTTTCAGTTTCATAAAGGACCTTTTACAGCATTGATAATGTTGATTTTAATCAGTTTAACAACAAAACAAAAGTAAATAGCGCTATTCCGCCTAGTCTCTCCCTATATTGTTTACCATGCAACTCTGAATATTCACTCTGAAATGGCATGTCATTTTGTTAGTAATGAGTGTAATTCCTGCACGCCGCCTGATAAGCACTAGTCGCTTTTAACACATAAGAGAGGGTTCTTGCTGTCATCTTTAAGGTGCGCGTGCTCATGTTTCAGGAGGCGTGGCTCTGGACAGCAGGGGAGGGACTGTGATTCAGAGATTTATGCTAAGCTGTTAGCATTGTGGAAGATCACCTACTGCACCTTTAACTACATAACTGCATACTGTCGCTCACAGGATTTTTATTTACTGTCGGTTCCTAAAGTGCGGACTGACATGGGGAAAAGGCGTTTAAACTGCCGTCTTTCATCTGAGAAATATCACTGAGTTATGATGTATGGTATCCATCTCAGATGCAGAAAAGCTAGTCTATGCTCTTATGAGCTCTAGGCTGGATTACTGTAATGCTCTGTTTGCTGGCTGCCCAGCATCCTCTATTAACAAACTTCAGCTAGTGCAAAATGCAGCAGCCAGAGTTCTGACCAGGTCTAGAAATATGATCATATCAGCCCAATGTTCTCCTCCTCACACTGGCTGCCTGTTAAGTTTCGTATTGAATTTAAAATATTACTTCTCACCTATAAAGCTTTAAATAATCGAGCTCATGTTTATCTAACTAACCGTCTGTCTCGCTATAATCCAACTCGCTCTTTAAGATCTCAAACTCAGGGCTTCTGTAGTACCTAGAATAGCAGAGTCCACTAAAGGAGGTCGAGCCTTCTCATTTATGGCTCCTAAACTCTGGAATAGCCTTCCTGATGATGTCCGAGGCTCAGAGACACTCTCGCAGTTCAACACTAGATTAAAGTCCTATCTGTTTAGTAAAGCACTCAGTGCATCACAAAGCGGTGTGATACATGAATGTGCTCCATGCATCTTGTTTGTACACACTATAGACAGCCTGTCTGGCAGCAACAACCATGCCACGTTCAAAGTCTCTTAAACCCCCCTTCTCCCCCATTCTGATGCTCGCTCTGAACTGCAGCAGATCCTCTTGACCATGTCTGCATGCCTAAATGCAGTGAGCTGCTGCCATGTGATTGGCTGATTACAGATTTGAGTCAATAAGCAGTTGGACCCTGTACCTAATAAAGTGGCCGGTGAGTGTAATTTACAGTGAAATATTTCACTATTTCTAGAGTATTTGAGACTGAATAAATGCAGACCTGCTGAACAGAAGAACAATGTAATAAACACAACTGTGTGTGTTGACCTGCACAGGGACAGCGCAGGTGTGTGTGTGTACCTGTACAGAGGTGTTGGTGCAGGTGAGCGGGTGTGTCACTGCTGTTTGCAGGTGGAGAGTTTGCGGATCTTGCTGGCGGCTGAGAGCCCCTTGCGGGACGGGTTGGAGGAGGAGCTGGAGCGACGCTCACATTTGGGCTTCAGCGCTGCAGACTCCGTCCCGTTCACACACACCGCTTTGGCCACAGCACAGGTGCGTTCAGGAGCACACTCCTCCTCCTCATCCTCAGCTACCTGACCTGCACACACAGCAGCACAGCATTAGTGACACATATACACACATCCTTCCAGACACACACACCTTTTCACATATATAGAAGTGTGTGCAAAAATACATGTGTAAGTGTGTATGTGTGTGAGAGTGCATGTACGTGTGTGTGTGTGTGTGTTTAGTTTATGTTAGTGAGAGTGCAAGTGTATGTGAGAGTGCATGTATATGTGACCGAGTGTGTGAGTTTATGTGCGTGTTCACACCCAGTACAGTGAAATCCTAAAAGTCCTGAGTTTGTCAATGAGTGTGTTTGTGAGTGCATGTGTGTGTTCTGACCCAGTATGGGGAAGTCCTGAGTGTGTATGTTTGTGAGTATGTGTGTGTGTGTGTGAGTGTGTATTTGTGTGCGTGTGTGTTCTGACCCGGCAAAGTGAAGTACTGAGTGTTTTTGTTCAGACCCGGTACAGTGAAATTCTGAGTGTGAGTCTGAGTGTTTGTATGTGTGTGTGTGTGTGTGTGTTTTGACCCGGTATAGCAAAGTCCTGAGTTTGTCAATAAGTGTGTGTGTGTGTGCATATGTGTGTGTGTGTGTGCATGTGTGTGTGTGTTCTGACCTGGTACATTGAAGTCCTGAGTGTGTATGTGTGTGTTCTGACCCAGTATGGGGAAGTCCTGAGTGTGTGTGTGTGTGTTCAGACCTGTACAGTAAAGTCCTGAGTATGTCAATGAGTGTGTGTGTGTGTGTGTGTGTGTGTGTGTGCGCGCGCGTGTTCTGACCTGGTACAGTGAAGTCCTGAGTGTGTGTGTTTGTGTGTTCTGACCCGATACAGTGAAATCCTGAGTGTATATATATATATATATATATATATATGTGTGTGTGTGTGTGTGTGTGTGTGTGTGTGTATTCAGATCCGGTACAGTAAAGTCCTGAGTATGTCAATGAGTTTGTGTGTTCTGACCCAGTACAGTGAAGTCCTGAGTGTGCATGTGTATATGTGTGTGTATGTGTGTGTGTGTGTGTGTGTTCTGACCCGTTACAGTGAAGTCCTGAGTGTAAATGTATGTGTATGTGTGTGTGTGTGTGTGTGTGTGTGTGTGTGTGTGTGTGTGTGTGTGTGTATGTGTGTGTGTACGTGTGTGTGTGTGTGTTCTGACCCGTTACAGTGAAGTCCTGAGTGTATATGTATGTGTATGTATGTGTGTGTGTGTGTGTGTGTGTTCTGACCCGGTACAGTGAAGTCCTGAGTGTATATGATGTCATCTTCTCCATCAAACAGCTCCTCCTCGTCCTCCTCGTCCCCGTAGCCGTGCAGGTCCTCCAGGTACGGCACTACAGTCATGCTCCGCCAGCGGTCCCGTGTCTCTGCGCTGGGCGGGATGGGCACTGGACGCTCCGACGCCGCGTGTTTCTTGCGCACCCAGCTAAAACACACACATTACTCTATCATTCGTGTTTTAATGTTGTATGCGCATGTGTTTGCATGTGTGTGTGTGTGTGTGATGATGGTCTTGGTGGTGGCTGGGAACTCTTTAATATCACTGGTGGGACAGGTGTTTATGACACCAGTGCCTCATGACAATCATGTTTAGGACAGATTTAGGACAGGTTTTGTTGTCTTGGAAACATTAATTTCCTTTCATTAACGAGGTCATCTTTGCATTTAAAATGACATAACTGAGCGAATGACACTTCATAGCAGCTGTCATAAGCATGCATAAAGCCTCATTCACATTCCTGTCATATTATGATTATAAAGATTAACAGTCTCAAGCTGCGTTCACACCAGACGCGGAACGCGTGTCAAGTGCGAGTAATTTACATGTTAAGTCAATGCAAACGCGTGAATAGACATCCTGCGGCGCGATACATGCGAATGGCGTGGCGCGAATGACGCAAATTACGTGAATGGCGCGGGGCGAATTGAGCGTTTTGTGCCTTTGACGTGCTTAACGAGCGTTTTGCGCGAATCTCTTGAGTTCGAAAATCTGAACTTCAGCATACATTCGCGCCGCGTTAACCAATCAGAAGCTTGCTCTTGTGGGGGCGTGATTGTGACATATTGCCTGTTGTCGGTGTTCTGAGGGAAATCCTCCAGCCTTCACCGACAACAGTTCATCAAACTGGGCTGGGCTCAGTCGGAAGCACCGCTGAAAGCCTCCATCATCCAGGTTCAGTTTCTGGAGGAGTTTATGAGCTCACAGAGCTGGATGCACCTCTGAAAGCATGTAGTGGACTCAGACACGACCCTAAACGTATCAATGCTGTTTTTCAGTCTTCATAAAGCACTTAAACACTGTTATTTTCTCAGTAAAATCCATGTTAGCCATTTAGCAACGAAGCTACAGTCTTCGGGCAGACAGAAGCCCTGCCCATTAGCGAACCCGCTTCTGTTCTGAAGTGAATTTGACACGCGAATAAAGCGAGTAAACTCAAATATTCACGCGGCTATTTACGCGCGCGTTCCGCGTCTGGTGTTAACACAGCATTATGAGCACCATGTCAACTAAAGTGTTTCCCCTTTTTTAATATGTAATAATCCCCTGCTTCTAAAATTCAGCGCGTCTAATGCGGCGTTTACACCAGGCACGGAAGAAGCATCAAGCGTGAGTGATTTACATGTTAAGTTAATGCAAAGACACGAATAAACGTCCTGAGGCGCAAATGATGTGGCGAAAGATGTGGAAAATCTGAACTTTAGCTGACATTCGTTCCACGTTAACCAATCAGGAGCTTGCTCTTGTAGGGGAGTGATAATGACGCAGTGCATGTTGTTGGTGTCCTGGGGGAAAATCCTCCGGCTGACACTGGACAACAACTCATCTTACTGGGCTGGGCTCAGTCTGAGGCACTGCTGAAAGCCTCCATCATGCAGGTTCAGCTTCTGGGGGAGTTGATGAACTCTCAGAGCTGTTGCACCACTGAAAGGATCTAGTGCACTCAGACACGACACCAAGCGAACCTACGCTGTTTTTCAGCCTTCCTAAAGCAAAGCACAGCTAATGTCTTGATAAAACCCATGTTAGCCATTTAGCAATAAAGCTAAAATCATCGGGTATTTGACGAGCGAATGAAGAGAGTAAACTCAAAATTACATGCGTCTATTTACGATTCATTTGCACGCTCCACGTCTGGTGTGAACTCAGCATGAGAGCTGTCAGTGTGTATTCTCGTCTGTGGTTACGCTGTTTAATGGACTCACTTGTGCTGTCTGATGCGCTGTATTGAAAACCTCTTTACAGGATCATATTCCAGCATTCCTGCAAACACAAACACAGGCCATGTTCATGCACACATGCTTAAAATCGGCAGAAATTCATAATTAGAACAATAATAATGCATTAGATGAGCATTGCGCTTCTCTATAACCCAAAAGTGCAACAGCAGGACAAAACCCTTCACTTTTTATTGATGTGGAGATGCTGCATTTCTGATAGATTACATGATTACATATTATAAATATATAGATATTACATTTAAGGATTTAAACATTAATTTTAAAGGACAATTAACTGGCAGAGCAGTTATTCAGAATATGCTTTGTTCACTATGAAATATAAAAATCAAAGAAAGTCAAGCTATAATAATAAAAACAACAACAACATTAATAATAATACCAACAATAATATGAATAATAACAACAACATTAATAATAATAATAATGACAACAGTAATAATATGAATAACAACAACAATATTAATGATAATAATAATATTAATAATAATAATAATAATAATAAAAACAACAACATAAATAAATAATATTAATAATAATAACAACATTAATAATAATAAAACAACAACATAAATAATAATAATAATAACAACAATAATATAAACAACGACACCAACATTAATAACAAAAACAACATAAATAAATAAATAATATGAATAATAATAACAACAATAATAATATGAATAACAACAACAACAATATTAATAATAATAATAATAAGAAGAAGAAGAATAAGAATAGCAACAACAACAACAATATTAATAATAGTAATAGCTAAAATCTAATCATTAAGTCAGAAAAATTGCTCTTAGTCTTCAATTTTTGTATAAAAATATAGTTATTTTAGCATTTATTTCACCATTTCATTTAAAATCCCACAATTTACTTACAATTTAATGTGATGTTTATTAAGTAAAACATTAATTTCTTTAAAAAGGAAAATAACTAAATGTTTATCATCTGACTGCTCAAACCATTCTTTACATTTGCATAATTATTTATTAAATTGACTCATTAAAATGCAATATTAAGAAATGACTGATCAACAATAATGGAAAAGCATGAGAATAAACATTAATGTTGAACACTTGCGCCACCTGGAGGACAATAATAGGAACTACAATTACATGAAGCACATTTAAAGGGGCAGTTCACGCAAAAATAAAACCCGCTCACTATTTACACACATTAAAGTGTTTCGTCTGTTCAACACAAAACAAGATATTCTGAAAAATGCTGGAAAAGAGCAACCATCGTCTTCCATAGGAACAAATAAATGCAGTTTTTCTTATGGAAGCATATTAGTGGTACAATTTATTTTTTATTAAAACGTAATATGTAAAACGGCAATATGTAAATGGAAATGCATTTACATATTTAAATTAACATTTTCCAAAACGTGCCAAAGTCGGGTGCAAAATTTTTTTAAATTAGTTTATAATAATAATAATAATAATGATGACTTTTATACAATACCAACAATACAATTCACTTTATATAATAATAAAAATAATAATACAATTAATTTAGTAATATAATAATAATAGCAATAGAAGATACTTTTAAAAACAACCACCACCACAGTAATAATATAATTTACATTTGCAGTTTACAACCTGTAAACCCTTTTAACGTGTAAAATCACCTACTAATTGTAATGATTTAAAAGGTGTCAAAATTAAATTGAAAATGAAATACCCGGATTGAATTAAAGCATGTAAAACTGACGCAAAATGATCATTTCAATGTTATTTACGCTCATTCAAGACGATTAAAGCAAAATTCAATGTTCATTTAAAATGCATTCAGAGCCAAAGGAAGAGCAGAAAGGCTATGATTATATTGTCCAGCATGCGTCACTATAGGTTCCTTTGTGTTCAGCAGAGGAAACTCAGGAAATATTGTCAGAAGGTAGATGTGTGTGTGAACTGCCCCTTAAAGAGAGAGTAAATGTGGTATATTTACCCCTCAGCAGGTCTGAGAGCAGCGGGCCGCACTCCTCCGGGATGCTGTAATCTCCTTTCCCAATGTTTTCAAATAGCTTATAGATGTTGTCTCCCTCAAACGGGTACAGGCTCGTGGTGATGTTGTATCTGTGAGCGGACACACTTTAATTATTTATTTATTTACATATCTGTGAAAACTAGTGCAAAGATAAATCGCATCCAAAATAAAAGTTGACATAATATATGTGTGTATTTTATATAGATATTTATCATGTATATGTGACTGATAGAAGAAAAATCTTACATAATAAATAAACATATCAATACATTTTTATTTAAAACAAACATTTGCAAACCACAAATAATCAGCGCTTCTGAAAAAAATGGGCGGTCCTAACAGTGCGACTCCGCCCAGCGCGTCTGAAAAATAAGCAGTCTACTCTAGCTTCTCTAACAATCTTCTACAGGGTAAAGGTGTTCCAGCAACCATGATCCATTATCTGAAACTGCTTTGACACAATCTACATTGTAAAAGTGCTGTACAAATAAAGATCAACTGCATTGATCTGAACACTGTGCTGAATCTGATCTGAATTCTGTGCTGAATCTGATCTGAACGCTGTGCTGAATCTGATCTGAATTCTGTGCTGAATCTGATCTGAACTCTGTGTTGAATGTTGAACTCACAGTGTGACTCCAGCAGACCAGATGTCCACCTTAAACCCTGAAAACGTGTCCAGACCGTTGGCGATCTCTGGTGGCTGAAACGCTGGAGAGCCCTGACTCGTCCGACACGTGTCGTCCTTCGCAAATGGGTGCAGCGCCTAGAGGTCAGAGGTCAACACACACACACATAAACAAAATTGCACACACATACACAAAAACATACACACAAGAAGGCGCACAAACACACACACACACGCACGCACACACGCACACAAACAAACACACACACACACACACACACACACACACACACACACACACACGAACACAACCAAACACACACAAATACAATACAAGCACACACAGGCAAACACACACACACCCGCACAAACACAGAAACACATGGACACACAGAATCAGTCAGTCAGTGAGTGTGAGAACAACCACTGACACAGACACTGACCTCTGCCACCCCCAGATCAGAGATCTTGAGCGCTCCGTCTGTGGTGAGCAGCAGATTCCCAGGTTTAATGTCTTTGTGGACGATTCCCTGGCTGTGCAAATACTCCAGACCATCCAGGAGCTGACAGAAGTACCTGAGAGAGACACAACCATACATACATACACACAGACACACAGACACACAGACACACACACACACACACACACACACACACACACACACACACAGAGGACCAGACAGGTCAGTTCACGGTGTGTGAAGCTGAAATTAATGACACTTGAACAAAAATATATTGCTGAGGACTAAACTATTTCCCCCTCGGCTGTGTGTGTGTGTGTGTGTGTGTGTGTGTACGTGTTTTTGTGACATATCAAGACACAAATCTGCATTATGGCACGGGTATGACACAGGTATTACAAAAAGCAGGTGAAATATGGGACATTTTTGACGTCCTGATTTCTCAAAATGCTTCTAAATCCTACAGGATGAGTTTAATCAGAGAGTAAAGCTGTACACAGTCTCCTGTGATGGTTGGGTTTAGGGGTGGGGTGGGGGCAATACAATATACGGTTTGGACAGTATAAAATGAATGGAAACCTATGTAATGTCCCCACTTTTCACAAAAACAAACATTGTGTGTGTGAGTGTGTGTGTGTGTGTGTGTGTGTGTGTGTCGTCCCACCCGTGAGCTTGAAATACTGGAAACCTCTTCTCTGGAACACTGTCCAGCATCTCCTGCATTCCACACACACAATACTCCATCACCATATACGTGAGGCAGCAGTCAAGGAGAACACACAGCAGATCTCACACACACACACACACACACACACACATGCAATCAGACACACAACAGCACCAGGGTCATCTCCATGAAAACCTAACTACATGTGTTCAAGTTTAAAATATTCATAAAAATTAAATGATATAATGAATACGCAGCACAGAGGCTGAACACTGTGTGTGTGTGTGTGTGTGTGTGTGTGTGCGTGTGTAAAGGATATATTTTCTGCTTCTCCTCGTTGTACAGCACGTCCACCAGCTGAATGACGTTTTTGTGCTGTAGTCGTCTGAGCAGCTGAATCTCCCTGCAGGACAAATGACAGAACACACACACACACATCACAGATCTATCACACTTACACACACAGCTCTGAACACTTATGCATCACAAACACACACAGCTGAACACTGATGCAGCTCTCTTTCACATACACACCTGATGTATCTCACACACACACACAGCTGAACACTGAAGCATCCTGCATCTCTTTCACACACACGGTTCTAGAAGATCTGCTCTATTTAAAGCTCAGCCCGCGGGCTCAGTGCACATTACTTTAATTAATGTAACTGCTCAGTGTGATTAAACAGCAAGAGGATCAGAATCAGATCAGATTTCAGAAGGAAACACTGGCCTTTTGCTTATAATACTATATATGATTACAACAGAACAACAAAACAATGTATAACATATGCTGCTGCCAAAACACCAATCTGAATATTCCTAAAATCTCTAAAATGTTTTAATAATGAATGATTAGTCATGGTGTTTTGAAGTGCCCATGCTCATCATCACCATACTCAGTCTAAATGATCCTGAAGAAAATAAACATTAGTGCAAGGACAGAATCAGCCCCTGCACTTCCATGTTAAATCATTTTTAATTGTTTGGTATTTTGAAATACTCACAATATCAATATTGCACATGTTCATTATCACCATATAACAAATTACTGAATAATGGCATATGTCTAATATCGGCAGGCGTCTAAATCATGCAGATACAAACTGTAGCACAAGAATCAGCTCCTACTTGGCCTTGTTCTGAATGTTAAATAGTTTTGAACTGTTTGGTACTTTAAAGTGTCCATCATATCAATAATATGCATGCTTATTATCATCATATATCAAATTATTGAATATCGTTAGGTGTTTAAATAATCCTGCAGAAAAACCAACACCAGTGCAAGTAATAAAACAGGTGCTACTTCTTGACGTTGGCCTTTTTTAAAGAAGGAAATAATCAATGTTAAATAATTTCTAATTGTTTGGTATTTTGAACACCAATACCCACAATATCAATATTATGCATGCTCATCATCACCATATATGTATCGGTATATGTCTAATATCAGACCGTCTCTAAATAACCCAACATTAGTGCAAGTAATAAATCAGCTTTTTTGACGTAACATAATTTTGAACTGGTTAATAATTTGTTGGTATTTTGATGTGCCCATGATATTAATATTATGCATGTTCAACTTTTACCATATACTGAATTTCTTAATATCAGTATATGTCTAGTATCAGCAGGTGTATATATAATTCTGCAGAAAAATAAACTTCAAATATTTTGAATTGTTTGGCATTTTGAATATATTAATATCCACAATATTAATACATTACGCATGTTTATTATCCCCATATTTTAAATACTGGCAAATGTCTAGTATCTGCATGTGTCGAAATAAACCAGCAGAAAAAATCAATTCTTCACAGAATGTTGAAGTCTTCACAGCAACACTGACACATTCAAATGGCGTTAAACGGGTCACATACTGTATTTTTATAGGTATAATTTACCAAGAAATGTCATTTCTGTCTTTATGTAATGATGTATTCGCAGCATATATTGAATAACAGCAAATATTGAATATCGTTATACATTTAATATCGGCATATACTGAATAACAGCAAATTTTGAATATCGGCATATATTGAACATCAGCATATATTAAATATCACCATAAATTTAATATCGGCATATATTGAATAACCGCAAATATTGAATATCGTCATAGATTTAATATCGGCATATATTGAATAACAACAAATATTGAATATCGTCATACATTTAATATCGGCATATATTGAATAACAACAAATATTGAATATCGCCATACATTTAATATCGGAATATTGAATATCGGCATATATTGAATATCGGCATATATTGAATATCGGCATATATTGAATATCGCCATATATTGAATATCGGCATATATTGAATAACCGCAAATATTGAATATCGTCATACATTTAATATCGGCATATATTGAATAACAGCAAATATTGAATATCGGCATATATTGAACATCAGCATATATTAAATATCACCCTAAATTTAATATCGGCATATATTGAATAACCGCAAATATTGAATATCGTTATACATTTAATATCGGCATATACTGAATAACAGCAAATATTGAATATCGGCATATATTGAACATCAGCATATATTAAATATCACCATAAATTTTATATCGGCATATATTGAATAACCGCAAATATTAAATATCGTCATAGATTTAACATCGCCATATATTGAATAACAACAAATATTGAATACGTCATACATTTAATATCGGCATATATTGAATAACAACAAATATTGAATATCGGCATATATTGAATATCGCCATACATTTAATATCGGAATATTGAATAACAGCAAATATTGAATATCGGCATATATTGAATATCGGCATATATTGAATATCGGCATATATTGAATAACCGCAAATATTGAATATCGTCATACATTTAATATCGGCATATATTGAATAACAGCAAATATTGAATATCGGCATATATTGAACATCAGCATATATTAAATATCACCATAAATTTAATATCGGCATATATTGAATAACCGCAAATATTGAATATCGTCATACATTTAATATCGGCATATATTGAATAACAACAAATATTGAATATCGGCATATATTGAATATCGCCATACATTTAATATCGGAATATTGAATAACAGCAAATATTGAATATCGACATATATTGAATATCGGCATAAATTTAATATCGGCATATATTGAATAACCGCAAATATTGAATATCGTCATACATTTAATATCGGCATATATTGAGTAACAACAAATATTGAATATCGGCATATATTGAATATCGCCATACATTTAATATCGGAATATTGAATAACAGCAAATATTGAATATCGACATATATTGAATATCGGCATAAATTTAATATCGGCATATATTGAATAACCGCAAATATTGAATATCGTCATACATTTAATATCGGCATATATTGAATAACAACAAATATTGAATATCGGCATATATTGAATATCGCCATACATTTAATATCGGAATATTGAATAACAGCAAATATTGAATATCGACATATATTGAATATCGGCATATATTGAATATCGCCATATATTGAATATCACCATAAATTTAATATCGGCATATATTGAATAACCACAAATATTGAATATCGTCATACATTTAATATCGGCATATATTGAATAACAGCAAATATTGAATATCGGCATATATTGAACATCAGCATATATTAAATATCACCATAAATTTTATATCGGCATATATTGAATAACCGCAAATATTGAATATCGTCATACATTTAATATCGGCATATATTGAATAACAACAAATATTGAATATCGTCATACATTTAATATCGGCATATATTGAATAACAACAAATATTGAATATCGGCATATATTGAAAATATCGCCATACATTTAATATCGGAATATTGAATAACAGCAAATATTGAATATCGGGATGTGTTGAATATCGCCATATATTGAATATCGCCATACATTTAATATCGGCATATATTGAATAACAGGAAATATTGAATATCGACATATATTGAATATCGGCATATATTGAATAACAGGAAATATTGAATATCGACATATATTGAATATCGGCATATATTGAATATCGGCATATATTGAATATCACCATATACTGAATGTCGCAATGTACTGAATACCGACATGCATCTAAATAATCCTTCAGCATAATAAACATTAGCACTAATAAAGCATCAGCTCCTACTTCTTGACGTTAGCCTCTCCATTAGGGATTCTCCGCAGCTTCTTCTTCTTGAGGATCTTGACGGCTCTTCTGCAGAGCGTCTCCGAGTCCAGCATCTCCTTCACCTTTCCATAAGACCCCTCGCCCAGCAGATCCCCCATCAGGTATTTCCCGATCAGCTTGGCACGCTTGCGGCGCGGCTGGTAAATGACCTCAGTGGAGTCGATGCGGTGGATGAAGGTGTCCATCCCCATCAGCTCGTTCTCCGTCAGGTAATCCAGATGCTGGAGATCCGCGCCCACGCTCATCTTTATTATAAACGTATTAATCGATGATGATGATCAGAATAGCATAATAGCCGATAAACGCCTGTTAAAGCGCAGCATCGCGGCTCACGTGCACAGAAATCAAAAATAAAGTCAAAAATGTTTTGTGATGATATGCAGCTGGTGTTGGATTAGCCCACGCTGGGGACTACTGGAGATCCGGACATCTCTGCAGAAGCACACACATTCACTTCAGCGTTACGGGAACTGCATCCATGTGCGAGACGTAAAATACCTGCAGGAGGAATAAGAGGCAAGATTAATCACAGAAATCTGCTTATGTGCTGCAACAACAGGCCTCAGTCTCACTCACACAAATCCACCTCTGCATTCCTCACGCTCAGTGCTGTTCTGCACTTTAGAAAGTTCAATGTTTCAGCATGCATCTCCTGTTCTACATGTGGATTGTTTTCCGCAGTTTATCTCTTTTGTGACGTGTCGCAATTCCGTTTGTATGCTTAGAATTCATTCCTTCATTCATTAATTTTCCTTCAGCTTAGTCCCTAAAAGGCGCAAGCCGGTCTAAGATTCTGACGGTATGATAACCTTGGGTAAATACATCACAGTTTTATGATATCCCGGTATTGTAATTACAGCTCTAAAACTAAAACTTCCCCCGTTCATTGAACATGGTATATATTTTTTAACATTTTAAATATTCTGAAAATAAATGTCAGGCTAAATCGTTTAAATAAAGTCATGGACTTCTGCTGTCTTAATAACACAACTTTATCTGCAATTGAAAAGGCATCTTTGGATATCTTTCCTTTCTTTGGTTGTAAAGTAAAGCCTAGTTCACACTACAGGATTTTAAACATCAGCAGATCGCTGTGCTGTTCACACTACATGACTTGACTTTGTGTCTTTTAATCTCTGTGGTGTTCACACTACGCAACACTCCGTGAACGATCCACAAGAGGGGGGTCACACACTACATGATCTGACAACATCTCATTCCCCATCAGCTCATTCAAGCTACCAAACCACAGCCAATGAAAATTTGAGGGAGGAGTCGTCAGAAAAAGCTGAACACTATTGGCTGCTTGTGTGCTGATGACATCACTGACAGCGTTTCAAGCTTTGGAGAAAGCATTTAAAAACATCGTCAAATCAGCTGATTTATCAGCGCATTAATCACTCATCTGCAGGTTCCAGTGGAGAGATACACAGAGAGTTTTTAATTTTTGTAATTTTATAACTCTTTGAAATAAAACTAACATATTTATAACACCCTGCCGCTTTCTAACTATCAGTGTATTTCTTTCTGACATTGTCATTTTTTTATTACAAAACAGTAAAGAACTGAGCATTTCTGCCTTAATTTACCATATTGGTCAGAATGACTGCATGCATGTCTGATACTTTTCGCTATGACTTTAAATATGTGTGCATTTCCTTGCCTGGCAACTTCCTGCTAACATAAACAAAACTTTCTGATGGCAAAAACATCAATTTACTGCAGATATCTTTCAAAACAGCATATTCTGTGCTGTGAAATAGCTCCTGTTTGAAAGTGAAAATGAAAGCCAAGACCTTTAAGTGTTTTAGTATCTTAGCTACATATTTATAGGCTGTATTACCAAAACATATTATATTTTTAGGGTAATGGTGTCATTAAATATGATGGCAGACATTCAAAGCTTAATTTTAATATCTCAATAATAGCTCTGAATGTAAATATGTTGTGACAGTATGGCGTTTTATATGAGAACGGTCAGAATGAGCAGTATGGTAATTCTAATAGTTACAGAATTCTAGTTCCACTGTTAATATATCCTCCTCTCATGTCTGTGCTAACGCAGAATGAAGCGAGTGCACCGATGCCCATTCTGACCAATCACAGATGTTTCTGCTGAGCTCCTGAACACACAGGCATTCTGCTCATGCTGATCTGCTCTCTCATTGGCTGCAGCTCGTCACTACATCTAACCACACGTGGGGTTGAGTCGGCCGACTGCTCTGGAATATTCAGCATGCTGAATGTTGGATTTCCGTCTGCGAGGTGTCGGCGAGGTGTCGGCGACGCGTCAGCGAGCCTCGTTGATGCGTTGTTCAGTAGTTCACACATAAAGAGCGGCGAGCGCCGAGCACCCGCAGATTTCTTCCCGATCACAGCCCGATCTGTCGGCGAGCTCGTTAACTTCCAAATCGGGCTCAAATCAGGCTTAAAATCCTCTAGTGTGAACTAGGCTTAAGCCGCTGCACTGTTCAGCTCTTCAGCATGCTGGATGTTGGTTTAAAAGAGATTTGTGTTTTAGATGCTTACTGAATCATATACTGACCAGTAACTTGTGGTGTGGATGCTACTTTTCTACTGTTGCCCTAAAAAAACTCAATAAAAGTCATGAAAAACAAAACCTACAAATACCTTAGGACTGATATAACACAATGTTTTAGCGGCTTTATACCTTGAATTTTTAAAACCGCGGTAAACCTTAAAACCGGTTATTGTCCCATGCCTAGTCCCTAATTAATTAGGACTCGCCACAGCAGAATGAACCGCCAACTATTCCAGCACATGTTTTACACAGCAGATCCACGCCAACCTGGAGAGACCATGCAAACTCCACACAGAAACACCAACTGACCCAGCCGGGCTTGCTGTGTGGCCACAGTGCTAACCACTGAGCCACCGTGTCACCCATATATATATATATATATATATATATATATATATTTTTTTTTTTTTTTTTTTTTTCTTGCTTTGTAGTTGTTTTGCTTTCTTTAGAATAGGCAGCTTTAAAAGGAACAGCAAGCAAGACTGACCCCCACAGATACATTGACAGCCTTCATGAATGAAATGCACACTTTTCCACCATCTGGCAACCCGGAGTGCTGAAATATAACTTGTAAAACTGGCTGTGGGGCAGAGTTACAGAGAAAGCAAAGACAGATATTCTGACACTGAAAGCACATTCTCAAAGCAGAAGAACTGACTGCTGAATTATTTCTCTGAAAAACATGCTCATTTAGCATGTTTCTTAAATATCTGCAAACATACTATGGTATTTCTATGCTTTAGAAGAGTCAAACACATACAGTTGAATTCAGAATTATTCGCCCCCTTTTTATTTTTTACCTAATTTCTGTTTAACAGAGAGCAGATTTTTTTCAGCACATTTCTAATCATAATAGTGTTAATAACTCATCTCTAATAACTGATTTATTTTCTCTTTGTCATGATGACAGTAAATAATATTAGACTAGATATTCTTCAAGACACTTCTATACAGCTTAAAGTGACATGTAAAGGCTTCACTAGGGTAATTAGGGTAAAGTTAGGGTAATTAGGCAAGTCATTGTATAATGACGGTTTGTTCGAAACAAAATAAATAGCTTAAAGGGGCTAATAATATTGACCTTAAAATGTTTTTAAAAAAATTAAAAACTGCTTTTATTCTAGCCGAAATAAAACAAATCACACTTTCTCCAGAAGAACAAATATTATCAGACATACTGTGAACATTTCCTCAATCTGTTCAACATAATTTGTGAAATATTTCCATTTCCAAATCCAAGGTTGGCCGAATAATTCTAGCTTCAACTGTACAGCATTTTGAATATGTTTTTGGCTTGTCACAGTGTGGATTGCACTTTTATTTGTTGTATTTACTTATTTTGTTCTTGTGCAAACAAATTAAATTTAAATTACCAGTAAAAAACCCCAGTACTGGGAAACACCCAGACCCACTCATTCACACACACAAAAACTCATACACTACGGCCAATTTAGTTGATCAGTTCCCCTATAGCGCATGTGTTTGGACTGTGGGGGAAACCAGAGCAAACCCACTCCAACACATGGAGAACATGCAAACTCCACACAGAAACACCAACTGACCCAGCCGAGACTCCAGCAGTCACACATTGCTTGTATAACATATTTGCATAAGCTTTTCATTGAGATATAAAATTGTTGATTGAGATTGAAAATAATGATCAAAATTACATTTGTATTTTGCATGAGCTCTTCATAAGTTCCAGCATTTAAATATACTGGGGGAAAGTTAGTTTCACACTTCTGGACTTTCTCCTTAATAATATAATCTCAGAAAAGTTTTCTTTGCAAATCCTAAAAAAGGACAATCACATTTTCAGCTGATGAAAAACAAGATTGCTGACAGTCAGTTAAATAGTGCTAATGTTGATTTGAGGTCATAATTATGTCTGATTTCAGACCCAATATTCAAAGCATCATGGTAAACAATATAGGGAGCGTGTCACAACTAGTCACTGAACAAACGTGCTAATATTAAACAAACTTTAGTTCCATTTTAAATATTACAGCTCCTTTATTCTTTATTTTAGTTCTCTTCAATGTTTTAATACGATCTAGACTGAGATATAGAAGCGACACAGGAATGAAGATCAGTCTAATGAGTCTGGATATCAATAAAAGACTGCAAAAGAGGATTTTACAATCTCACACACACACACTAACACAAACTACACACAAGAAAATAGAACACACACTGAGAGAAAACACAACACAACGACACACACAGAATACACAAACACAGATCTCTATCAAACGGTCGAGAACTGAGGAGAACCGGAGATCAGATGAGCTGATTGATTAATTGATTGATTATTGATCTGATCACCTGACCATCAACTGCGGATCATCGATCAGCCGCGATGTGTGTGCGTATGTATACATGTAGATATGCGTGTGTGTTTGTGTGTATGAGTGTTTGTGTCGATGGAAGGAAAGTGTTTGTCGGCGGCGGTTAGCGGCGGCTAATGCACACATACACACACACACGGACACAGACAGAGACACGCGCACACACACTGACCTGACGCTGGCCTCCTCCGCTCGGCTCACTGACGGACACACAGTCGTTCTTCTCCTTCTTTTTCGCTCTTTATTCCTCTGTTTTCTCGCTTCTGTTCTTCACAGCTGCTGCTGCTTCAAGGCTGCCGCCATCTTGTTTACCTCCCTCCCCTCGCTGCAGTACGCATGCGCACATCCGTGAACGCGCTCGAGGCCTCCAGACGGAAACGCGCGCAGGAAAGTTCCAACTTGAAGATGATCATATCCATTCATTTATTTATTTTCTTTTCGGCTTAGTCCCTTTATAAGTCTGGCGTCGCCACTGTGGAATGAACCACCAACTCATCCAGAATATGTTTAACGTAGCGGATGCCCTTCCAGCTGCAACCCAGTACTGGGAATATGACCATAATCAAAAATATCCAAATATGTTTATCAAAGATTATTATTATGTGTGGTGTGCTGGAGCACATCAGAGGGGATTTACGGCGAATCTAAATGGCATTCTTATATAATTCTTGGTAATTTACACCTTTATTATGGATTTATTGTCTATTATCTGGTTATTGTCAGGCTAAATACTTGCATACGAGGAATAAATATTAAATATATTACATGTTATTATTATTATTATTATATTATTATTATATAAAAGTGGCAAATACAGTAAGAGTGAATTTTGTAATTCTTACACTTTTTAAATATTTTAATAAATAATCTGTATTTGTGCTGTATTAAATAATCTGTACAGGCTGTATAAATTGCAATATTCTTGTTAGCACACTAACGAGTATTTGTTAATGCAGTATTTTAAATGGCAAAATGAGTTGAGTTGATGTTTATTTATTGATTTATTTGTAGAAATGTTATAGTTTTAAATATATAGCTGAAAGCAGAAGTTTACATACACTGTATAAAAGGGCAAATGACCATTTAAAAAAAGTCAGATGTTAATGTGACTAAACTTTTTCTCTTTTAGGTAAGTGAGGATGATCACATGTGTTTCTGTTCTGCTTGATAGCAGAATAATTAGAGATATATGTTGAGGAATTGTTCTAACTCTTGTTGAAAGTCAAGTTTACACACAATCAGATTATTCTGCCTCTGGAAAAGCTCAGATGATGATGTCAGGGTTTTGGAAGTTTCTGATTGGCTAATTGACAACATTTGAGTTAATGTGAGGCACAACTGTAGAATAGTGTTGAAGGAAAAGCTCAAACACACTGCTTCCTTCTGTGACAACATGAGAAAATCAACAAGCCACAATCAACAACAAAGCCAGATTTCCATTAGCTGAATGACACTGGGAACAGACTAATGTGTGGAGACATGTCCTGTGCTCTGATGGAGCTAAGATTGAACTGTTTGGCCATAATGAGCAGTGTTACATCTGGAGGACAAAGGGGAAACACACAAGCCTAGAACACCATCCCAACTGTGCAGTATGGGGGCGGCAGCATCATGTTGTGGGGCTGTTCTGCTGCAGGAGGGACTGGTCCACTTCACAGCATAGATGGCATCATGAAGACAGAACATCATGGAGAAATACTGAAGCAACATCTCAACACATCAGCCAGGACATTACAACTCAGCCACAAATGGCTCTTCCAGACAGACCATGACCCTAAGCACACTGCCAAATGAGTTAACATGTGCTTTAAGGACAACAGAGTGAATGTTTTGCAGTGGCCATCACAAAGCCCTGATCTCAATCCTATAGAGAATGTGTGGGCGGAGCTGAAAAAGCTTGTGCGAGCAAGACAGCCTACAAATCTGACTCAGTTACAGCAATTCTGCAGGAGGAATGGGCCAAAACTCCTGCAAACTATTGTGAGAAGCTTAAGGAAGGAGAGCCAAAACATCTGATTTTAGTTATACAGTTTAAACGCAAAGCTAAAGAAATACCAAGGAAATGTGTGTAAATGTGTGTCTAGAAATTATGTAAAAATTCTCTCATTCTGGCGTTTAGCAAATGTAAATAATTTGGACTTAAAACAATAGTTGTGTTTCTTTTTTTACAGTTTGTAAATTTCAACTGTATATTTCTTAATTTTATTCCTCATTCAGGCCTGTATTTCTCTTCTCTTCTGACTTCCTCTGTAAAATGGATTATTAGTATTATTATCATTATTATTTTAATGGAGCTGAACTGCAGTGAACAGCTGTATATTTATTTATGAAAGATTAATAAACTGTAACTAATATTTTGCTCATTGTTAATGTGAGATTACTGCCAACATTTAGTAAATATAGATATAAACACTACATACACGCACGCACGCACGCACACACACACACACACGCACGCACGCACGCACGCACGCACGCACGCACACACACACAAACAATATATATACACAACACATACACACACATGTACACAACTTACAAAAGCACACACAAATATGCATACACTTATATACACACACATAAACTCCATCTACACACTCGTTCTTTCTCTCTCTCTCACACACGCTTGCTCTTTCCCTCTCTGGGCCGCTGCTGGTGTGTGTGTGTGTGTTATATTTAAGCAGTGTTAACCCTGTGGAATGTCAGACTCGGGCTCTGATTACAGACTCACTCTCGCACTGCTGTCCTCCTCACACACACACACATACACTTTATAACATACATAGACTTTGCATATATATCACTGTATATCACAGAGGTTTTTCTTTCCATTCGCCATGCGGTATCGAATTCCTTTAAAACATCCTGAATGAAAATCCGGCCCCTGGTCTAATACACCCTCTGGCTTGAGATACCCGCTTATGACTTATTAATAATGACTTATTATTTGGGTAGCACACATATCCTGAATGCCTTCAGCAAAATTCAAATGAGCCATTTTAAACTAGATTAATTCTGAGATTACAGTGAGATTAATCTAGATTTAAAAAATTATCTATATATATATATACAAGGTTATGCCACAGCCATATCACCCTGCAGCCCAAGAGCGCTCCCTCACTGAAGCTAAGCAGGGCTGGACCTGATCAGTGTCTGCATGGGAGACCACATGGGAACACTAGGCTGCTGTTGGCAGTGATGTTAGTGAGGCCAGCAGGGGGCGCTCAACCTGCGGTCTGTGTGAGTCCTAATGCCCCAGTATAGTGAAGGGGACACTATACTGTCAGTGAGCGGCGTCGTTCAGATGAGACCTTAAACCGAGCTCCTGACTCTCTGTGCTCATTAAGAATCCCATGGCACATGTGGTAAAGAGTAGGGGTGTAACCCTGGTGTCCTCCCTCCATCAGCCCTTCCGATCATGGCCTCCCAATCATCCCCATCCACTGAACTGGCTCCATCACAGTCTCTCCACTCCCTCTATAGCTGGTGTGTGGTTGTCCTGTGGCTGCCGGAGCATCGTCCCAGTGGATGCTGCACACTGGTGGTGGTGTAGAGAACCCCCCCCCCCCCCCCACATGATTGTGGAGCACTCTGGGTGTATGGCCATACACGATACATGCGCTATATAAATACACATTACATTACATCACAGGGTGAATCGGCCTTCAGCTACTAACAGCGCCCCCTGCTGCTGGAATCAGCTCCAACATTAGGCTCATTCACATCAGGACTGAACACACATCTGTTCAGCGGAGCCTTTACTGAATGAGCAGTGTGCTGCGGCACACACAGAGCACTCTCTTTCTGTTTATTATTTTAAAACCTGTTGAACACATTTACACCTGTTTTAACCACTTTTATTTCTTGTATTCCTGTTTATTGAAAGCACTTTGAACTGTCATCGTGTATGAGATCTGCTATGGAAATCAACCTGCCTTGCTGTGGCAGTGAGAGGCTGCTGATCAGACACGGTGAGCTTCAGCTCCACTAAATGCTGAGGGTTTTATTCAATGAGGATTCTTCAGCTCCAGTCAGGATCATTATGAAGGAGAATCTCCATATTCATATATATTTACTGAGGCATTACTGAAACAGAGCCGTGTGAAGCTCGTCTGCGAGATCTGATGTGAGGAACAGAGGAGGAGAGCAGCAGTGGTGTGTTGATCATACGCTATATTTGATCATGTACAATATGAACTCAACAATACAAGATGATTGTCCTGAATAAATATCACAGCACACCTCCGACAGCATATATATGTACAGTATCAACAAACCAGAGGCGAAGTACATCTGCAAACAATGAACAGGTGATGATGATGATGATGATGAAGAGTGGAGGAGAGCGGGAGGCTGGGGCTTCATTTAGGAGATTCTCATATGTTACACAATTTATTTTACACCACACACACACACACACACACACACACACACACACACACACACACACACACACTCTAGCTCTTTACACTGTCTCATTTCTGCAACAACCAATCAGGTGACACAGCCTCGTTAATATGCGGATGAGGCTCATAGTGGGTCATGAATATTCATAAAGAGGTGGCTCTTCTGCTGGATGTTGAGGAGTCGCTCTGATCTTCAGTTCATTCTTCATCTTCATCATCAGTGGACACACAACACTGAAGGTCTGAGTGAAGAGTGTGTGTGTGTGTGTGTCCAAACTCAACACAGTCTGGAGGAACGCATTATTACAAAGATTTACAAGCCGACTGTACACTCACACACACACACACATAGTTGCACGCAACCATTCACACTGACACATGCACACACACATACTTGCACGCGCACATACACACACGCAGACATGCACACATAGACAAATGCAAGAAGGTACATATACTTGCATGTGCACACACACACTCTTTCACACACTCACACACTTGCAAGCAAACAAACACAGACTCACACATTCACACACACCAAGACACTTGCACACACGCACACACACACAGACAGACATGCGCACACAGACACATGCAAGAATGTACACAAACTTGCATGCACTCACACACAAATGCATGCACACACACTCACACACACGCACACAATCACACACACACACACACACACACACACACACACACACACACACACACACACACACACACACACACACACACACAACAACTCATCAGTTACAGTGTCGCAAGAGTGATTACAAGAGTGATTGAGAAGGTTTTGAGTGTGCAAAATAATCTAAGGGATCCCTAATCAATTAATCTGACCTGCATACAAATAAACAGATTCACTTATGTTTTTAAATATACATATCTGAGTGCCAAAAAGTCAATAAAAGTAAAAAAGTTCATTATTCAGAGTCAATAAAAGGAAACAATGATTTTTCCATCATTATTCAGAGTCCTCATCGAGCTCCCTCTAGTGGCAGAAAAACACAATACAAGCTCATGTGTTTATTTTTCCACAAGAGGGCGACAGAAACACACACCCTGCACACACATTAGCATGTTAATGATTGGACATTAAGTATTATTAAAATAGCAGAACTAATATTAATAAAATACTTCATAAAAAATATTATAGTAAATATAATAATTTACTTAATTACAGTTCTAAAGTACATCTTCTGCATGATCTCTGCATATTCTACAGCTTTTGATAACTATTAATAAGGAGCAAATTAAGGATTTATTGATGTAAACACAGGTTTACTAATAGAAAGAATTGAACCTTAAAGTGTGACATTATTTGTGGTTTTTTTTCTATTTAAAAAGTAGATAAGATGAATGAAATTAAACTTAGAACATTAATACAACAATAATGAGAACATTAGGGAAATGTTCTTGGTACATCAATATAAAGTGTACAGAATGTTTTAATAACATTTTAAATAACATTCTGAGAGAATTAATATGACATTAGACTGACACACTGTGCAGACGCTTTGATAAACATTATAAGCAAAAAATAATGTTAATACTTTGTAATTTTTCAATTTGAACACTAAAAACCTTCGACAATAACATTTTTATAACTTAATGAGAGTGTTAGGGAAATGTTCAGTAACATTAATATAATGTGTCCGCAGTGTTTTAATAACATTATAAATAACGTTCTGAGAACATTAATATAACATGAGACTGAAACACTATAAAAGTGTTGAACAACTATTATAACAACTAAAATTAACTAAAGTTAATACATCATCCAAAACTGGACATTTCGAGTGTTCTACGAACCTTCCACAATAAAGTTTTCAATAAATTACTTCAAATATAATGTGGATGTGTTATTATAATAATGTTTTAAATAATGGTCTGAGAACATTAACGTGTGTCAAAATTCCATAATTATGAGGCTGAAACGTTTTGAACAGCATTATTATAATAAAAACAAGACAAATATTAATGTAGCGTCTTCCACAGACGTTTTTATCAATCACTTTAAAGCATTAATATAATGTTGAAGTGTTGTTTTATTGATGTTTTAACATTCAGAGCACATTAATAAATCATGCGGCTGAAACTTTCTGAAAATATTGTGAATAACACTACAATAACCAAAAATAAAGCTAATACATCATCTAAAACATTTGACATTTTGAATGTTATGTAACTTACTATAAACACTAGAGAAATGTTCTTATAACATTCATACAATGTTTTAATTATGTTTTAAATAATGTTCCGAGAACATGAGACTGACACACTGTGAAAACGTTTTGAATAACATTAATATAATCAAAAAGAACATTAGTATATCATTAAAAGGGGCAATGCAGTAGGTAGTGCTGTCGCCTCACAGTAAGAAGGTCGCTGGTTTGAGCCTCGGCTCAGTTGGCGTTTCTGTGTGGAGTTTGCATGTTCTCCCTGCGTTCGTGTGGGTTTCCTCCAAGTGCTCCGGTTTCCCCCACAGTCCAAACACATGTGGTACAGGTGAAGTGGGTAGGCTAAATTGTCTGTAGTGTATGAGTGTGTATGTGTTTCCCAGAGATGGGTTGCGGCTGGAAGGGCATCCGCTGCATAAAAACGTGCTGGATAAGTTGGTGGTTCATTCCGCTGTGGCGACCCCGGAGTAATAAAGGGACTAAGCCGACAAGAAAATGAATGAATGAATGAATGAACATCATTAAAAAATTTAAATTTTAAACACTAGGAACCTTAAACAAAAACATTTTTATAACTTAATGAGACAGTTAGAGAAACGTTCAATGCCATTAATATAATGTGTCCGCAGTGTTTTAATAACATTATAAATAACGTTCTGAGAACATTAACATGACACTGAAACACTATAAAAAGTGTTGAACAACTATTATAACAACTAAATAAAATAAATAAAGTTATACATCATCCAAAACTGGACTCTATAAACCTTCCACAATGACGTTTCTATAAATTACTTTAAAACACTTTTATAATGTGGATGTATTGTTTTAATAACATTTTAATAATAATTTGATAAACATTCTGAGCACATTAATTTATCATGTGGCTGAAACATTATAGAAAATATTGTGAATAAGTACTATAAGCAATAATAAAGTTAATACATTGGCTGAAAAATGTGACATTTTGCTATAACTTATTATGAACATTAGAGAAACGTTCTTATAACATTAATACAATGTTTTAATAATGTTATGAGAACTTTTATATACATGAGAATGAATCACTGTGAAAACGTTTTGAATGATGATATTATAAGTAAAAAAACATTAATATATCATTAAAATATTAATGCAATGTTTAATAACATAAATAACGTTTTGAGAACATTAATGTAACACAAGACTGAATAATGTTAATAAAATAATGTCAAAAAATGTTAATAAAAACAACAACATTAATACATCGTCGTGGACATTTTGTGTGTTGAACCTTCCACAATGACGTTTTTATAACTTACAGACAACCTTATGATACATTCATTCATTCACTCTCCTTCAGCTTAGTCCCTTTATTAATCAGGGGTCGCCACAGTGGAATGAACCACCAACTATCCCAGCATATGTTTTACACAGTGGATGCCCTTTCAGCTACAAACCAGTACTGGGAAACATACACACTTATTGACACACACACTCATGGACTACAGCCAGTTTAGTTGATCAATCCGCGCCCGGAGGAAACCCACGCCAACACGGGGAGAACATGCTAACTCCACACAGACACACCAACTGACCCAGCCAGGACTCGAACCAGAGACCTTCTTGCTGTGAGCCCACAGTGCTAACCACTGAGCCCCCGTGATGCCCAACATTATGATATATCACATTAATGTAATGTGGTCGGAATGTTTTGATAACGTTTTAAAATAACATCTTGAGTACGTTAATATAAAATGAGACTGAAACTGTGTAAAAATGTTTCGAATAACGTTATTAAAATCCAAAAAATGACCGTATACAACACTGGACAGTCTAAGAGTGTATAAACAATAATAATATAACTCAATCATGTATTAAAATGCACAATTTTAAATATGGTGTGTTGATTCTCTTCATCTGGGTTAAGCTGCCTCCACACAGTCCACTTTGTAAAATTGGCTACAGACATGTCATTTAATCATTGGGAACGTTGAGAGAACGTTTTTACAACCTAAAAAAAAACTAAGACAGTGTTTGTAAGTTGTACCTCCGCACAGAATGAGTGTGTAACGTGTGTGTGTGTGTTTGCGAGGGCAGTGTGTACCAGCAGATCCACCATGTTGGGCTTGTTGTTGCGCAGAGTCTTCACAGCGTGAAAAACGTCGACGGATCGCTGATGACGCAACATCTCACTGACGATACTGATGGCGCAGAACGTCCCGCTGCGACCGCCGCCGTTCCTGATGCACAAAACACACACAAACACACTCATTTAAACACAACACAAACGTGAACGCACATTTCTGATCAGTGTTATTAGTGTTGAACACAGCTGTGCTGCTTCAGATTTTATATTTAATATTAACCGGGATACTTTAAAGGTGCAGTGTGTAAGTTTGACACCCAGTGGTTGAACTAGGTATTGCACACCTGGTTCAAAACACACGCAAGAGCAGGTTGCCAGATTGATGACACCAGCAGGAGCGAGTCTGACTATCGAGCCTAAATCAGCTGATTTAAGTTTTGTTCTAAATTAAAGTAATGGCACACGATAGAGGGAATATTTTCCATATTAAAAGGAGTACAATACCTCGAATTGATATATTAGAAACGGTTTCTCACAGCTGAACAACAGAACACTGACAATGATCAGCTCAGGTACAAGCAGTGGTGGAGAGAGTGCTGAAAATCATACTGCAGTAAAAGCACCATTACTTGCCTGAAAATGTAGAGCAGTAGAGTAAAAGCATCTGCTGTAAATATTACTCAAAAGTAGGAGTAAATTGAAGACCTTTCAAAAGAACTCAAGAGTACACTGTAAAAAATAAATCCGTAAAATTTACGGTAAAAGAACGGCAGCTGTGGTTGCCAGTACTTTACCGTTAAAAATATGGTACAAACCGTAAAAGTAATTTCTAACTTTTACAGTAAACTACTGTATTTTATTAATTTATAGAGGTAATATGTCTGCATTTTGAATGATCAACATCTACACATCTTTTGTTGCACAGTTAGACACGTTAGCACACCCACAGGCAGGTGGTGATGAGGAAGTTACATAATGAGCCAATGCTCATCACAATCAACTTTCCCCACAAGCAGAAAAGAGTATCAGCATATAGAAGGTGCTCAGTGTCATCCACACAGCTACTAAACACCAGTATGGTAACACGCTTAAAAGTCATGAAATAAACATTGTTTATCAACATTAGATGTATAAATCTCTAATGTACATTACTGATGGGGAAACAACTAAAAACATCCATAATAATGTCAACAAATGCATAAACAGTGATGTGCCATACAGGGAATTCTGGGAAAGTCAGTTTACGTTTTTTCCAAGTGTGCCGCAAGCCTACGTTTGAGTGAAGGTGTCGGCCGTTAGATCGCCCCCTGGGGGCTGGCTGCAGTACAAGTCATAAAGCCCGCCTCCTCCGTGTTAATGAGGGAGACTTGAGCCCAAATAAAAAAAAATATTACACTTGCAATAAAATGTCCCGAAAGACAGTTCTGGTGGATTAAGGCACTGGTTATTGTGCTGAAATAGGTGCAGATCTTCATTTTTGTGAACAGTTTGTTTTCAGCAGTAATTTAATGCTGGGCGTGTCATCGTGATTGACAGCTGTGATTGACAGTTTCTCAAAGCGCGGCGTCTGAGCTTCGGCAGGAGACTGAAGTAGACTGAAGTGTTATTATTGGATTTCTGTGTTATTTTACCATGACAAAATGAGTTCAGCAGTAAACTATAGTTTCTGACATACATGATCCTGGTGGAACACTGTTTATTCGCTAAGTTCAGGGCTTTTTTCGGGCTTTATTAGTTTGCTGATACACGCCTAGCCACCCAGATAGCAAAACACAGTTCCGGCTAGATTCTCGCCTGCCGGAGACTTATCTCTTAGAGCTCAGACTGACTAATGTTACCTCTGCTGGACCTACTCCGGATGCCTGGACTCACTACCCAATTCCAGTCCGAGTCAATCGAGCCAGATGCGGCGGCCGAGCGAGCAGGCGCTGCCGCATGCGAGCCGGAATCAGCCCGCGACGCCGCGAGTAGGTTATGCGCTGCGGCCTGGAGCTGGCGCGATTAAATATATCAAACCCTCATATTTGTTAACGTTATTACATCCATTTGTGTTGATATGACAGCAAACGCATGCTGAGCAGTTCGGGGGGCGTGGTTGATTTTACATAAAGCGTTTGATTGGAAGCTCGACTCCGCTCATTTTCACGGCTCCTCCTCTGGCTCCATCAGACAATCCTTCTGCGCATGTCTGGCTCCAATTTCAGCAGTCTTTTGCGACAGTTTGTGCCCGTCAAGCAGGCGTTTTGCGCTCAAGGCGTTCAATGGGAAAAAGGGCTGTCGCGTCGTCCATATTTTTTACAGTCATTGGTTTTTTCGCCGTGTATATTAAGGAAACATACTGTTAACCAGGTTACGGATTTGTACTGTAGCATTTTTACAGTTTCTTACCGTTGAAATCACGGCCATTTATTACAGTGTAGTGAGTAGTGATTATTACGCTGTGTAAATCTGGTGTGTTCACATGTTATTTGTGCATGTGTGTGTAAACGTAATATTCTGTAGTGCAGGGGTTCTCAACCTTTTTCACTTTGAGGCCCACCTTTTTTCCAATTTTTTTTGTCTAAAATGCTCATTTTAAAGCTTTATTTATTAGCAAAATATTTATTTTGCCTTTTATTATTCTCTTTTTTTCTACATTGTTTTAAATAAAAAACTTCAAAGATTGTGCATGTACGTATATACAGTTGAGGTCAGAATTATTCACCCCCTTGTTTATTTTTCCCTAATTTCTGTTTAACAGAGAGCAGATTTCTCCAACACATCTCTGATCATAACAGTGTTAATAACTCATCTCTAATAACTGATTTATTTCCTCTTCATCATGATGACAGTAAATAATATTAGACTAGATATTCTTCAAGACACTTCTATACAGCTTAAAGTGACATTTAAAGGCTTCACTAGGGTAATTAGGGGAACTAGGCAGGTTAGGGTAATTAGGCAAGTCATTGTATAGCGATGGTTTGTTCTGGAGACTATCGAGAAATAAAGGGGCGAATAATATTGACCTTAAAATGGTGTTTAAACAATTAAAAACTGCTTTTATTCTAGCCGAAATAAAACAAATCAGACTTTCTCCAGAAGAACAGACATTATCAGACATGCTGTGAACATTTCCTCAATCTGCTCTACATCATTTGGGAAATATTTAAAAAAGAAAAATAAATTCAAAGGGGGGTGAATAATTCTGACTTCAACTATAAATAATCAAAATATGTATTTTATTAAATTTTTTAAAACACAGCAGAGTATTTGGGCCTTTCCTTTAGTAAAGGAATCTGCCAGGACTACAGGATGGCAAAAAACCCTATTCTATTCTGTTCTGTTCTGTTCTGTTCTATTCTATTCATCTATTGATTGATGCCCATTAAAATAAACAACCCAGTCCTAATTGTAAAACACAATAAAACCCTCTAAATCTGATGAACACTTTGATCTGGAGGTGGTTGGGATTGTAGCTGGACATTATTGGAGTGGGCTGACAGGAACAGCTGTTCACTTACACACCACAGAGTCTGGCTAGATCCACCTGTACAGTTCAGACACCTCCTGTGCGTCAGGTATAAAACAATCGCAAGACGTTAGTTTGGACAACTTTGCGGATATTTTAAAGCGTTCACACAGAGAGCATGCATAGCCTAGTTTGTGAATCAACGGACTTGTGTTGTGCGACTGTGATACAGTGTGAGGCACTTGCGCGCTGATTATTATAACTCTAATCATTCATTCATTCATTTTCTTGTCGGCTTAGTCCCTTTATTAATCCGGGGTTGCCACAGTGGAATGAACCACCAACTTATCCAGCAAGTTTTTACCCAGCGGATGCCCTTCAAGCTGCAACCCATCTCTGGGAAACACACACACACTCATACATTACGGACAATTTAGCCTACCCAGTTCACCTGTACTGCATGTGTTTGGACTGTGGGGGAAACTGGAGCACCCGGAGGAAACCCACGCGAACGCAGGGAGAACATGCAAACTCCACACAGAAACGCCAACTGAGCCGAGGTTCGAACCAGCAACCTTCTTGCTGTGAGGCGGCAGCACTACCTACTGCGCCACTGCATCACCCCACTCTAATCATTGTTACCCAAACCTTGACGGTTTCGTGAAATGCCATTACTACTATCATTTTAATATGACATATTTAATAATGAAATCAAATAATTATAGAATAAAACTTAAGTTAATTTTAGTTAATCTCGCGGCCCACCTGCAGGATTGCTGAGACCCACTAGCTGAGAATCCCTGCTGTAGTAAACTGAGTTATTGCCCAGCGGCACACGACATTATAAGACATCAATATTAGGTTAGATTTAGGTGATGTCAGGTGACCAAAACTTAACGTCTAGCCAGCGTCCAGGGATAATGTGATTTTGATGTCCAATGACCTCAAATGACGTTGATATTTGATTGATTTTAGGTTGTTAGGAACCAAAATGGAACATCGGGCCAATTATGGTAACATCCATACAACGTCAAGCTGTAACATCATTACAGCTGAACATTACAAACACAACTGGCTAACCTGGCATTGGGCTGGTTAAATGAACAAAACAAAGACGTAACACACAGTCACAACAGACTTCAGCTAAACAAGAATGTTCACTGAGCATGCTTCTGCATATCTGCACACACACGATGCTGTTTTTATGCTGCAGAACAGTGCTTCTCAACCACATTCCTGGAGGACCACCAACAATCCATGTTTTGGATGTCTCTGTCTGTCACAGGCAGGTCTCTCAGGCTAGTGAGCTGATGATCTGAATCAGGTGTGTTTGGTGAAGGAGACACGGAAAATGTGCAGAGCTCCGGGAAGGTGGTTGAGAAACACTGCTTTAGAAGAGTCAAACACTTACAAACAGCAGCTGCAGAACACACATAAACACTCATTTAAACAACACAAACATGAACACAGGCAGCAGTTGTGAATCTGAGTGCTGAACACAGCTGTGCTGCGGCAGAGGGATACATTAACAAACGCACAACACTCGAATAAACACGCATTCTGCACTATTGCGTTATTTAAAGATGTTTATGCAATATACAACAGAGAAAAGAGGTTATTAAAGAAGAAAATAGAGAACTGTATTAATCTGTGTGTGTGTGTGTGTAGTGTGTGTGTTCGGCCACTAGATGTGAGTGTTTCTCTAGTGTTGATCAGATCACACACTCCGTCAGGCTCCTCAGATCTTCAGATCAATGAATGAAGCGCTAATGATTATTGATCTGTTGCCCTGCTGCGATCAGACGGGATTATGAGGAGATCCACACACACACTGATGAGCAGATGCTGTGTGTGTGTGTGTGTGTGTGTGAGGGGTTCAGACGGATCAGACAGACACCTGAATGGACCCTGACAATTGGGGCCACAGCCAACCCTGACAGTCTCTGTGTGTGTGTGTGTGTGTGTGTGTGTGGTTGGGGGGGGGGGGGTGTTTAGACGGATCAGACAGACACCTGAATGGACCCCGATAACAGGGGCCACAGCCGACCCTGACACTGAGTGTGTGTTTGTTTGTGTGTGTGTATGTGTGTGTGAGTGTGTTTCTCACAGGCAGTGTACAACGGTGCGTATCTCTCCTCCATCAAACTCCTCTGTGTGTGTGTGTGTTTGTGTGTGTGTGTGTGTGTATGTGTGTGGTTTGGGGGGAGGGGGGGGGGGGGTTGTGTTTAGACGGATCAGACAGACACCTGAATGGACCCCGATAACAGGGGCCACAGCCGACCCTGACACTGAGTGTGTGTTTGTTTGTGTGCGTGCATGTGTGCGTGTGTGTGTTTCTTACAGACAGTGTACAACGGTGCGTACCTCTCCTCCATCAAACTCCTCTGTGTGTGTGTGTGTGTGTGTGTGTGTGTTACTCACAGGCAGTGTACGACGGTGCGTCCCTCTCCTCCATCAAACTCCTGTGTGTGTGTGTGTGTGTGTGTGTGTGTGTGTGTGTGTGTGTGTGTTACTCACAGGCAGTGTACGACGGTGCGTCCCTCTCCTCCATCATACTCCTCCTGCCATTTGTCCACCTGATGGATGAGCTTGAGGAAGGAGCGTTTGGACACCGGTGTGTCGCGGTACATCGGCCAGCCCAGAAACTGGAACTGCTGGACCATCCGGTACCCGTCCTGCGGCTGCATGCACACACACGCACACACACACACACACACACGCACACACACGCACACACAAACACACACATTTTTTATTTACATCCACATTTTTTTAAGGATATAAATATATACATACACAGACACACACACACACATACACAGACACACACACACACAGACACAGACACACACACACACACACACACACACACACACACACACACACACGCACGCACGCACACACACACACACACACACACACACACAGACACATACAGACACACACAGACACACACAGACACACACACACACACACAGACACACACACACACACACACACACACACACACACGCACACACACACACACACACACACACACACACACACACAGCTCATCTGCATTGGCTCTCTGCTTAAATCTGTGCAGGTTCATCTGATGGTCCAGGTGAGATTTTGACATTTTAAGCAGATTATCTGACACACAGGAAGGTCAGCTCAGTGTGTGTGTGTGTGTGTGTGTGTGTGTGTGTGTGTGTGTGTGTGTGTGTTTGTGTGTGTGTTTTTCTGACTTAGTTTGTGTATGAGTATCTATGCATGAGTGTGTGTGTGTGTGTATTAGTGTATTTTTGTGTATAAGTAAATACTGTGTGTGTGTGTGTGTGTGTTTATTTGTGTGTTTGTACATATGTGTATAAGTGTGTGTGTTTTTCTGAATTAGTATGTGTATGAGTACATATATATGAATGTGTGTGTGTTAGTGAGTGTATGAGTGTGTGTTTGTGAATTAGCATGTGTAAAAATGTGTTCTCATAATTGTGTGTGTGTGTGAGTGATTGTGTGTGTGTGAATTAATATGTGTGTGTGTGTGTGTGTGTGTGTGTGTGTGTGTGTGTGTGTGTGTGTGTGTGTGTGTGTGTGTGTGTGTGTGTGTGTGTGTGTGTGTGTGTGTGTGTGTGTCTGTGTGTGTGTGTGTGTGTGTGAGTGTGTCAGACCTGCGCTGGATCCACATCATTCAGCATGACTATAGATGTACAGTGATAGTCCAGAACGAGCCTCCAGAAGTCCTTCACTGTGTTGGGCAGAGGATGCTGGGTAACGATGAACGCAGACGGCTGCTTATAACTCTGAAAGAGCAACACACACACACACACACACACACACACACACACACACACACACACACACACACACACACACACACATTGAATTAGGTGTGTGCATGTTGATGTGTGTATAGTATGTACACTCACTGGCTACTTTATTAGGTACACCTGTCCAACTGCTCGTTAACAGAAATCTGTAATCAGCCAATCACAGGGCAGCAGCTCACTGCATTTCTGCATGTAGACATGGTCGAGAAGATCTGCTGCAGGTCAGAGTGAGCATCAGAATGTGGAAGAAAGGGGATTTAAGAGGCTTTGATCGTGGCATGGTTGTTGCTGCCAGACGGGCTGCTCTGAGTATTTCAGAAACTGCTGATCTACTGGGATTTTCACGCACAACCATCTCTAGGGTTTACAGAGAATGCTCCGACAAAGAGGAAATATCCAGTGAGCGGCAGTTCTGTGGGCGCAAATGCCTTGTTGATGAGGCCAGAGGTCAGAGGAGAATGGCCAGACTGGTTCCAGCTGATAGAAAGACAACAGTAACTCAAATAAGCACTCGTTACAACCGAGCTCTGCAGAAGAGCATCTCTGAACACACAACACGTCCAACCTTGAGGCGGATGGGCTACAGCAGCAGAAGAGCACACCGGGTGCCGCTCCTGTCAGCTAAGAACAGGAAACTGAGGCTACAATTCACACAGACTCACCAAAACTGCACAATAGAAGATTGGAGAAACGTTGCTGCTCTGATGAGTCTCCATTTCTGCTCACACATTCGGATGCTCGGCTCAGACAACATGAAAGCATGGATCATCCTGCCTTGTATCAGCGGTTCAGGCTGGTGGTGGTGGTGTAATGGTGTGGGGGAGATTTTCTTTGGCTCCATTAGTCCATTGTCCATGTCCATCCCTTTATGAGCACAGTGTCTCCATCTTCTGATCATCTTCAATCATCTCCATCATCTTCAATCATCTCAGACTGGTTTCTTGAACATGACGATGAGTTCACTGTACTCAAATGGCCTCCACAGTCACCAGAGCTCAACCCAATAGAGCAGCTTTGGGATGTGGTGGAACGGGAGATTGGCATCATGGATGTGCAGCCGACAAATCTGCAGCAACTGTGTGATGCTGTCATGACAATATGGAGCAAAATCTCTGAGGAATATTTCCAGTAGCTTGTTGAATCTACGACACCAAGGACTAAGGGAGATCTGAAGGTGAAAGGGGTCCGACCCGGTACTAGTAAGGTGTACCTAATAAAGTGGCCGGTGAGTGTAGTGTGTGTTTATAAAACAATGGCAAAAGAACAGTTGACTTCCGCATTGCAGAATATTGTAATAAGTGGGCGTTGGTCTTCTATGGAGGCGGAGCTTATTGTACTATTACATCATAGAGTGGAATATTCAGTCTTCAGTAGCTCGAGTAAACAGAGAGTGTGTTTGTGTCTGTGTGTTTGTGCATGTGTGTGTGTGTGTGTATGTTTGTGCTATTGTGTGTGTCGTACATCCATGAGCGCAGCGTTGATGTAGTTGCTGCTCTCTCCGTCGATGGTGATGAGGAAGGGCAGGCAGCGGTCAGGAGGAAGAACATCCATACAGCGGTTCTTCTCATGATTACGAGGGAGAAGAGCGATGCTGCAGTCCTCCACACGCAGCGTCGGGGTCACCATGTTCAGCGTCTGACACACACAAAATACAGACACAGATATATGTGGATTAATGCTTTTCTGTGCAGTAAATACAGACAAACACACACACACACACACACACAGATACAGAGAAGTACACACACACACACACACACACACACACACACACACACTCATAAAGACGCACACACATGCAGAACCTGCTTCATATGCGGAGTATACATCACCATAACTGAAGACATGCAGATGAGCTCACCCTGAACTCCTCTTTGATTGGACTGGAGTTGGTCTGAGGGTCCAATCGGTTCATGTCGTAGTAAACAGAGCGAAGCTGATTGGCCGGGATGGTGGTGTCGCCGCAGAGACACGCCTCCAGGATGGCATCATGAATGAAGACATACTGCTCCTGATGAACACATTAATCAGCATTTAAGAAGGAGAATGAAGAGGAAGAACAGCTGTTTAAAACTTATAATAAAAAACAATAATATTAATCATCATCACCATCGTAATAAAGCTCCGATTATTTAATATTTAATAAGCAAAATGAAGAACTGTTTTTATACTGATAATAATAAAAATAATAACAACAATCATCATCATTATTCTTTCATTTTCCTTCAGCTTAGTCTCTGATTTATCTGAGGTAACCACAGCAGAATGAACCAGCAACTATTCCAGCATATGTTTTACACAGTGGATACTCTTTCAGCTGCAACCCAGTTCTGGGAAACATCCATACACACTCATGCACACACACACACACACACACACACACACACACACACACACACACACACACACACACACACACACACACACTCATACACTACGGCCAGTGTAGTTGATCAGTTCCCCTATAGCGCATGTGTTTGGACTGTGGGGGAAACCGGAGCACCCGGAGGAAACACACGCCAACACGGGGAGAACATGCAAACTCCACACAGCAACACCAACTGACCCAGCCGAGACTCAAATCAGTGACCTTTTTGCTGTGAGGCCACAGTCCCGCCCATAGTTATCATCATCAACCTAATTTAGGAGATGATATTGTAATTTTTCAAATTTAAAATTGCACTAATATTTCATATTATTGTATTTATTAGCAATTAAATAGGTCACACTTGATAAATAAGTTGTGTTAATGTTAATTAATGTATTTCTTAACATGAACAATGTAGAAACTATTGTTACAATCACCGGCCATCTAACCCTGGCAGATCGCAGTCATGCAGCGCTCACACGCACCTGTTCCAGATTCCGCTGATTGCACTCAGATCTGAAGCTGCTCATGGACTGATTACAGGACACTTTAAACAGCACACACACACACACACGATTCTTTGCTGAGTCTTGTGAGCAGCATTGTGAACCTTACGATGTGTTTTCCTTGCCTTGCCGTGTTTGAACCGTGCTTTGTTTTGTTTGTTTTACGTTGTCTGCCTCCTGCCTTCTGACAACTCGCCTGATGTTTGACTATGACTCTGGATTGCCTGTATACATCTGTTTGCCCCTGTGTTGCTTGCCTGACCCTTCTCTGTGTAATAAACCCTGCATTTGGATCCGCACCTCTTTTGTCAGCATTCCACTTACACTACATTATTAATGTTTAAAATGAACCAGCATAAACTTTATTAATGAACTAATATATGCTGGATGAACAACGAGTAATAAATGTACAAGTATTAAGTAATATGGTCACACTTTACAATACAATTTCATTAGTTAATTTTAATAAATGTGTTAACTAACATGAACTGTTGAGCATTTATTAATAATCATACTTGAATAATACATGAATAATAATACAAAATAAATAATAATAATAATAATAATACAATAATAATCACCTCATTATTATTATCATATAATTATAATTATAGTATAATAGGTATAATAATAGGTCATATGTAAAAACAATTACCTTATAATAATAATAATAATAATAATAATAATAATAATAATAATAATAAAAATAATAATATCAATAACAATAATAACAACAATAATAATAATAATAATAATAACAACAATAATAAAAAAATAAATAATAATAATAAATAATAATAATAATAATAACAACAATAATAATAATAATAATAATAATAATAATAATAATAATAATAAAAAAATAACAACAACAACAACAACAACAACAATAATAATAGTAATAACAATAATAATAATAGTACAACAACAACAACAACAACAACAACAACAACAATAATAACAACAATAATAATAGTAATAATAACAACAACAATAATATTAATAATAATAGTAATAATAATAATAATAGTAATAATAATAATAATAATTATTATTTTCTTATTAAAACAAACATATAATTATATTAATAGTATAATAGGTAATAGGTATAATAAATATGTATTAATGTTAATTACTGTATTTCAGAACCTGAACAATGTAGAATCTATTTACTTGTACATGTAATAATCCTTGTTCATCCAGCATATCCTGATGCAATATTAAAATCAGAATGCATTCTAATTAATGTTAACAAACATTGATAAATGCTGTAATAAATGTGTTGTGTTGTTTGTTTATGTTAAGAAATACATTATCGATTAAAACTATCCTGTAATTTATTTAATCATGAATACAGTAATCTTATAAAATACTGTTTCAATTTCAAAACAACTGTTTCTATATGATCTCCTAAATTCCTTTGTGCAATATTTAATATTAATACTAATGAATCTGAAAAGTGTATAAATGTAGTCTTGATGAAAAGCGTAAACGTCTGTGTTTAATATTCCTGCTCAAATATAGTTGTGTAAGAGCTCTGTCTGGTTTCCCCCTCTCTTCTTCCTTCATCTGTTTTGTATTCATGGGATTTGTCAGCGTTGAAAATGCAGATGCCACTGTGATTGCACTCATTTGTTTCAGCAGAGATTTTGACGGCGTAAAACAGAACCAACATCAAACTTTATTAGCGGCGGCTCGTCGGAGCGCGGCGGCGAATCGTCTCAATACTGAAATGACTGGAGGAGTGTGTGGCGGATGCTGACGCGGCGAGCGCTTGATGGAAATCACTGCTGAAGTGACATTTACAAACCATCTTGGCCTGTCAGTCTTGAGGACGGGTTCATGCGTCTCTGATTAGGCATCTGCCGTGACCTCTGACCTTTCAGTGTCGCATGCGAACCCAGCCTAAAAATGATGCAATCAGCCCTAATGAGACGCTACACAAATGAGTCTGTCGCCGCACATCATCGGTGACGGCTCACAAATGCGTGTAAAAAGGTAACAAGTGGCTGGAGGGTGAGAAAGCGTGCCAAAATACCTACGAGCCAAACACACACACACACACACACACACACACACACACACACACACACACACACACACACACACACACACACACACACACACACACACACACACACATGAAGGTCACTGATTTTAAGGAGCAAACCCTCTCAAATACCAGTCTAGACGTCATCAGGCATGAATGTACTGGGGTGGCACCCTGAGATCGGTTGTGTCGAGTAAATTGGTGGAATTGTCAATTCTGTTACTGCAATATTTTGATGAATTTCTCATTTGCTTTTTAAAATCAATAATGATGAATGTGTGTAAAATTGTGTTTTAGACATGTCAGGAGGTTTTGTGTTTGAGGTTAGCATCTTGGGCCACAGCGCATAATGCTGCAAAATGGCAACTCTGTTACAAATCTTTTACATCGACTCGATTAATAACGACTCGGTTACAGGGACCTCTGTTACTGTTGACTGTTGTTAGCGTTGACTCGGTTACAGTGAGCTCTGTCACCATCAACTCTGTTCTCATCATCTTTTTTTATCCTCGACTCTATAATCGTCAACTCTGTTACTGTCAACTCTGTTACCATCACATCAACTCTGTTAGAGTCAACTCTGTTACCTATAACTGTTACCGTCACCGTCAACTCTGTTACCGGCAACTCTTTACCGACAACTCTGTTACCGTCATGTCAACTCTGTTACAATCACTGTCAACTCTGTTATCGTCACCGTCAACTCTGTTACCGTCACATCAACTCTGTTACAGTCACTGTCAAGTCTGTTACCGACAACTCTGTTACCATCATGTCAACTCTGTTACCATCAACACTGTTATCTTCACCGTCAACTCTGTTACCATCAACACTGTTATCTTCACCGTCAACTCTGTTATCGTCACTGTCAACTTTGTTACAGTCACCGTCAAGTCTGTTATCGTCAACTCTGTTACAGTCTACTCTGTTACAGTCAACTCTGTTACGTCATGTCAACTCTGTTACAATCAACTCTGTCACCGTCAACGCAAAGTCTGTTACCAACAACTCTGTTGCCATTACGTCAACTCTGTTACTGTCACCTCTGTTACGGTCACCGTCAAGTTTGTTACTGTCAACTCTGTTTTCGTCAACTCTGTTATTGTTACCGTCAACTCTGTTACCGTCATGTCAACTCTGTTACAATCACTGTCAACTCTGTTATCGTCACCGTCAACTCTGTTACCGTCACATCAACTCTGTTACAGTCACTGTCAAGTCTGTTACCGACAACTCTGTTACCATCATGTCAACTCTGTTACCATCAACACTGTTATCTTCACCGTCAACTCTGTTACCATCAACACTGTTATCTTCACCGTCAACTCTGTTATCGTCACTGTCAACTTTGTTACAGTCACCGTCAAGTCTGTTATCGTCAACTCTGTTACAGTCTACTCTGTTACAGTCAACTCTGTTACGTCATGTCAACTCTGTTACAATCAACTCTGTCACCGTCAACGCAAAGTCTGTTACCAACAACTCTGTTGCCATTACGTCAACTCTGTTACTGTCACCTCTGTTACGGTCACCGTCAAGTTTGTTACTGTCAACTCTGTTTTCGTCAACTCTGTTATTGTTACCGTCAACTCTGTTACCGTCATGTCAACTCTGTTACAATCACTGTCAACTCTGTTATCGTCACCGTCAACTCTGTTACCGTCACATCAACTCTGTTACAGTCACTGTCAAGTCTGTTACCGACAACTCTGTTACCATCATGTCAACTCTGTTACCATCAACACTGTTATCTTCACCGTCAACTCTGTTACCATCAACACTGTTATCTTCACCGTCAACTCTGTTATCGTCACTGTCAACTTTGTTACAGTCACCGTCAAGTCTGTTATCGTCAACTCTGTTACAGTCTACTCTGTTACAGTCAACTTTGTTACGTCATGTCAACTCTGTTACAATCAACTCTGTCACCGTCAACGCAAAGTCTGTTACCAACAACTCTGTTGCCATTACGTCAACTCTGTTACTGTCACCTCTGTTACGGTCACCGTCAAGTTTGTTACTGTCAACTCTGTTTTCGTCAACTCTGTTATTGTTACCGTCAACTCTGTTACCGTTAACTCTTTACCAACAAATCTGTTACGTCACGTCAACTTTTTTCCCGTCAACTCTGTTACTGTTAAGTCTGTTACCAACAACTCTGTTACCGTCACTGTCAAGTCTGTAATTGTCAAGTCTGTTATTGTCAATTCTGTTATCGTCAACTCCGTTACCTTCACCGTCAACCCTGTTACCGTCAACTCTGTTACGTCAGTCAAGTCTGTTATCATTAAGTCTATTATTTTCAACTCTGTTACCGTCACCGTCAACTCTGTTACCATCAAGTTTGTTATTGAAAATGCGTGAAATGTACCTGCAGATTTAAAATAAGTTGTATAATTATTTTGTTAATTATATTTGATCTATAAGCCATAGTTATCATATGATATATTTCATAATTGTGTGACATGGTGGCTCAGTGGTAAGCACTGTCACCCCACAGTTCGAGTCTCGGCTGGGTCAGTTGATGTTTCTGTGTGGAGTTTGCATGTTCTCCTCGTGTTGGTGTGGGTTTCCTCCGGGTGCTCCGGTTTCCCCCACAGTCCAAACACATGCGCTATAGGGGAACTGATCAACTACACTGGCCGTAGTGTATGAGTGTGTGTGTGTGTGTGAGTGTGTGAGTGAATGAGTGTGTGTTTCCCAGTACTGGGTTGCAGCTGGAAGGGCATCTGCTGTGTAAAACATTTGCTGGATTAGTTAGCGGTTCATTCTGCTGTGGCAAACCCTGATGAATAAAGGGACAATGAAGAAAGGAATATTTCATAATTTTCATATTTCATATATTTATATTATCATCTCCTTTCCTCTGTGTTTTCATGATTCTGAAAGATCATTTTGATTGTGTTCTGATTATTGTAGTATGATTGTTTTGTAGGTTCAGTAATTTCACTTTTATGGCAAAAAAAAAAAAGTTCCTTTCATTAATGTGAAACACTGAACATCAACACAGGATGCTGAAAAAAAGGCTTATTTTAGACAACATTTAGAGCTTATTTCTCTCATCTGAACTCTTCATATGTAGAGCATTCAATAAATCCACAAAAGCCATGCAGTGATGCTTGCTTCAGTGTCATAATTTTCATGCCACCCCATAAATAATGTTGTAGATCCGCCTCTGGACGTCATCTATGAAACATGTGCCCATTAAACACAATGATGCCCGAATTACAGTGAAATGCTGAGCGCGGAGCTCCAGATGGTGTGTGCTCAAACGCTGGAGATTCTGCATAAACCCGTCAGGAGCTGTAAAAACAGAGCGCAATAATCTGCTTTCGTAACTCGAGCGCATTTACGGCTCTTATAAGCACCTGCACATTGTGGCGCCGCCGGCGGATCGACTCTAAACTCAAGTGTGTGAGTGTTTATGAGATGCTAATAGGCTAAACTAGCAGTGGCGTGGTGCTTTTGCGAGTGCATTTACTTGGATTTAACAAACGCTCTTCCGTCATTATAAACTCTGTGCATTTGAGCCCGTTTCTCTTTCGGTTACACAAACCAGAGTAAAACATTTATCTGACCGACATCAGCAAAGTTACTAAAATGCCATGATCTTACGCATCACAGGATTCCTTATATGTTATGTTTACATATGCAAATGAGACATTATCTAAGTAAACAGACTCATTTGCATTCATTTGCATTCAGAAGAGTCAGGTTTAAATGCTTTTATATCCTCTGACCTTGTTGACATTGGTTTATACAAAGCCTGCATTAGACATCTCAGAATACTGTAAACAGACATGAAATATGATTCATATGTTTAAAAGTTAAAGGTTATATAAATCAGGTCACTGATTTATGAAAAAGTCTTCATGAATAAATCTGTGAAGTGGTGTGTGCCATCCCAATATAGACAGAAATACATGTATTAAGTATGGTGTGTATAATACATTAGAATAAATGTGTGAAGTTTATAATATGCACAATAAGTGCTGCTAAAAGGTTTCGGACTCAAGTCCAAGGAATGGTACATATAAACGTGTACTTTGAATACTTTCTTAAAGTACCCATGAAATCAAAACTAACCCGATTGGTTTTGCTAGTTTTGTGTTGAACAGTTCATCTGTGCGTGTCAGTAAGTAATAGTTGGTAATAGTTTGCCCTACTATTTGTTAATTGAAATCTGCAAATGCACTTGCTGTTTTTTTCAGATTATTTATTCCTTAGGAAATGGGTGTGGCTAACATACTAACCACGCCCCTTCAGCTGTCAGTTTTGAAAACAAACAAAAATGGTGAGCAGGATGAGTCTGTAAATTTATTTCATAAATAATAAAACGCCTACTTTACTACATCCAATCAGCTTGCAGTAAAAAAAAACAAGCCACGCCCACTTTTTGTCATTTATTATTCTGTTTCTCTAGGAACTGCAACACAATATGAAAAATAATGGTCACAGCTTCAAGTTCATTGGGACTTTAAGTTAGTTTGATAGACAATTTGTGATGTAAGCTGTTGTGGTGTGCAGTACCTCGGTCTGGACCATGTTGACGCGGCGCGACCGCAGCTCCCGCACACAGTTGTAGATGTCGACCACACCCTCCCGCTCCGCCATGTCCAACATGATGTCAATCACGATAAAGCAGCCTGTTCGCCCCGCCCCCGCACTGTAAACAGCCAATCAAAACACAGATCAATTACATAACTACATGAAAAATACCCAACCACCCACGTCAATCAAAAGAAAAAGCAAAACAAGGGAAAAAGTATAATGAAGCAGCCCATTCACCCCGCCCCCACACCAACAACCGACCAATTGAAATAAATCACAACAGGAGAAAATGTATAATAAAGCGTCCATCCGCCGTCAACCAACCAGTCTGAACACAGATCAAAATCAAAAGAAAACCCATAATGAAGCAGTCGTTTGCCCCGCCCCAACACCATCAATCGACCATTAAAAATAAACCAAAACTAGAAAGAAATTATATTAAAGAAGCACATTGGCTCCGCCCCCACTCCATCAACTGACCAATCAAAACAAATCAATACTAGAAAAAATTATAATGAAGCCGCCTGTTTGCTCCGCCCCTACATCATCCCTTGACCAATCTAAATAAAAACTAGAACAAAAGTATAATGAAGCTGCCTGTTTGCCCCGCCCCCACACTTTAAACCGACAAATCAAAACAGAGCAATACTAGAAAAAAAATTATAATAAAGCATTGTTGGCCCCACCCCAACACCTTCAATCAACCAATCAAAATAAACCAAAACTATTAAAAATTATATTAAAGCAGCACATTTGCTCCGCCCCCACACCGTCAACCAGCCAATCAAAATAAAACAATACTAGAAAAACATTATAATGAAGCAGCCTGTTTGCCTTGCCCCACATGATGAATCAACCAATTAAAACAAATCAAAACTAGAAAAAAAATTATA